TGATTGATGAATATATTAACATCTCTACCAAATGCCCGCAAAACCGAATCTCATTTACACTTTAAACAAACGCAGCCTAAGTTTCAAATATCACTAAAACCATATCACCCACATTATTGATCATAGGAACGGGTAATGTGATGCCCCTAGAGGCCACAAGAAACGCCCAAAAGAGTCTGGAGGATCTAAGGGGTAATGTTTTCAAACCGCCATTGACCCAGTCGTTTGGACCGTTCAGCCTGGGAACGGCCTCGAAGTCACAATAAATGTAATTAGTTCATAGTGTATTTAAAATACATTTGTTTTTTTGTATAAATTATAAATTATATAATTAAAACTTTATAATCCTTGCCTATGATGATATTAATTCATAGTTTTACAATGGAAAATAAAAGAAAAGTGTGTTTATTATTATGTATTTCTATTATTTTACTTTCACTCAACAAAGCTCGTGCATCGCACAAGTCCCCGCTAGTTAGCATATAAAGTAAGGTATTTAATCGCAACTGTCACAAAAACCAATTATGAGGATGTTTGTTTCTATTATCGCTTATTTAAAAATGCCATTACATTAGTACCACATGTGTGTTTGTGTTTATTGTATATGAAACTATTATTTGATTTTACCATTTATTAAATAAACATTAAGAAATTGAAATGCTTGATTTTTATATACAAGAGATTTGGGGAAATATCAACTTTTTGTTTCTCCTAACCCGTGATGCCCAACCAAACAAAACAAAAAACAAAAAACTTTTTTAAAATAATATGATACAAATAAACATTTAAAGTAAAAAATGGCCTCTCCATAAACTCCACATAACCAATCATATATTATATTAGTCTGGTACAAAAGAAAAGCCAATCGTTAAATCGATAGGGCCCACAATCATTAGAACTCTCACTTTGACGTGAGGTGTTACCATTGGTTGCACAGCCCTCGCTGCAGCTAATCCGAGTTATTCGCATATAGGGGTCCACAATCCAAGGCAAGGGCTTGGGAGTATGCAGATTAAGTCCAAATACTTCCCTCACACCTCCTTGTTTGCTTCAAAGAAATGCAAACGTAGTTCATCATGGTGGCAACAAGCCCATCAGTTGCTATTAATGCTACGTTCTAACTTATTGTGGTCAATTAAGGAACGGAGGTCTCGGCTATTTCCGACCCATGGGTTCCATCTCTGCCAGGTAACATACCACTACTGAATACTCCAGCACCTCAATTTCAAGGCTCGGAATTAAAAGTTTCAAAACAACTCAACCCTGAAGGCTCATGGAATCTCCAGTAATTACAATTGTTTCAAGCTTCCACCATCCCACATATTATTTCAGCGGAGTACCCTCTTTCTCGGCCACCACAACACCACCCTCACCATTTACAATTCAGTAATATTCCCATTTTGTTTACTGATGGCTCTTTTGATCCAGATTCAGACAATGCAGGACGAGAATTCATCCTCCAACATCCCAACGAACAATATATCATTGCAAAAGGTAGACCCTCTTGAGTATTCACCAGCTATGATGTTGAAATTCGAGCCCTGTTAGATAGACTACATGTAGCCCTCTCTAATGGCATCACACATCTTTTGATACATTCAGATAATGCAGCATTAATAGATTTTGTGAATACTGACCGAGTATCTCACTGGTTCGAGCAGCTGCATAGAAATCATCTAAGACGACTAATAGACTCATTTGAATATATATATATATTTTATACATATATTAAGACAATATAACCAAACAGCCCATTTTTTTGCTTATATATCTTGTAAGGGCCAGTTCAATGTACACTACAACTCCAAACACTCGCAACATGTATCCTTTTCTATATAATTGAATTTCCACTTTTTTCTTGCCAAAAAAAAATCAGAACTCCTGTTTAGTTACATAAAACTTCGATTGTTTACGCTGTTCAGGGTGTTTTTAGACATGACACGTTATGTAGGTGTGGGGTAAAAGAGTAATTGCCCCAAAGTCAAATAAGTGTAGGAATGAGTTTACGTGTCATGGCTGAGGACATTTTCAACAGGCCTAAGCTGTTAACAGCGAACCAAAGTCTCCTTTAGTTAGAATTGGTACTAGGGGTGAGCATGGACCGGTTTGGTTCAATTTCATGGCAGAACCTTGTAGGGCCGGTTTAGTTTAATAAATATAATATATAGTTTAAAATTTATATTATCTCTATTAATTAAAATGACTAACTTAATATGTAGATTATTATTATATGATTAAAAACTTTTAAATTAAATTTAAATTTTGTAAATATTATCTTTTATATTATTTATTATACATATTCAAATATTAAAAAAAATGATCAAATCACTTAAGTAAGTTAATGGTCAAGTGAGACCATGGCCTTTGTAAGCATGAATGCTTGGGTTCAAATCTTCATATTTCAAGTTTTCTAGGGTTTATTTCAAGGCAAATTTGGTTCCAAGGTAAGTTCTAACAACGTCAGTTTTACCAAGGCCAGCCTTCAAATAAGGTAAACCCCTGGACCCTGAGGTGTAAATCGGGCCGTGCCACCCACGGCCCAACACGATTTTGAGGCAAGTTTGGTTCCAAGGTAAGTTCTAACAACGTCAGTTTTACCAAGGCCAGCCTTCAAATAAGGTAAACCCCTGGACCCTGAGGTGTAAATCGGGCCGTGCCACCCACGGCCCAATACGATTTTGAGCCAGCCCAGCATGGCCCATATTATATATATATAATAATACATAGTATATAATATTAATAAAATAAACATTTTTTATTTTATTATACTATTTTATTTAATTATTGTTTATATAAGCAATTGTATATACCAAAATTCATATAAAATTAAAATTTTAAGTTTTTTTCAATTTTTTAAATAAATAACTTTGGTCTGATCTACGACCTGGCCTGGCCTAAGGCTTGGCCCACAGACCAGCCCGGCCAAGCACTGGCCTATGTAGGCTCGGATCGTGGGTCATGTTGGACTGACCCCCCCTCCAAAATATCCCAAAGGAGGGAGACATACGGGTCATGCCATGCCAGCCTAATATGACTCGTTTTACACCTCTATTTGAAACCTGCCTGAATGAGGATTGATTTCAATAATTTGAAATCATACCCTACCCTGTAACAGATTGGGTAGTATCGGTTTAAGACGGATTGAAGTCCGTTACATTTGATTCCGTGTAGAAACTAGCATTTGCGCACCCCGTACCACCTTAATCATCACATGTCACAACCAAACACATTTCAAGCGTGCTATGGGGGCCATTAGCCCATCAGAACTCCGGTTCAGTTAGGATTGGTACCACCTTACTCATCACATGTCACAGCCAAAGTTGCACGATTCAAGCGCAAACGACGTAATGTTCTACGTAACTGAAATCTATTCATTCGGGTTGGGTTGGATTACACATCTACATGTTAAAACGCAAGTTGCACTTTCATATTACGTAGATGGTTTAAATGACATAAAAAAAAGTAAAGACGGGAGTGTTAACTTCCGGTACTTATTTTCTCTTTATTTTTTCAACCTAAAAAATAGAAGAAAAGCTTTAAGTTTATTTATGATTTTGAACTGCTGTTGAATCAGATAGTCAAATTGTTTGGCTCGAGAATCATCTAGACAACCGGTCAAATCTGATTCTTAGTCAAAAACCTTTGAATCAGTTAACAATCCATCGATTCGTTCAATGATTTTGGCCATTTTTAATTTTTGTTTTTTTATTTTTTAACTTTTTATGTCAAAATGAGCCATTCATTTGAATGGGATGATCGAACCATCAACTCAAAGACCGATAGCCAAAACGAACCGGACTAGACGGTCAAATCAGAAAAATTGTCCATTTTACCCTAAAACCGTTATTTTGCCAAAAACCATTTATTTGGTTAGCAAACTGTTGACCAGTCAAGGTCGAACCGTTCGAATCGAACAAATGACCTGTTCTGACAAAAAATTTAAAATTTAAAAAAAATTAAAAAACAGCCAAAATCATTGGATAGTTCGAACGGTTTGAATGCTCGGGTTAGCGGTTTGTTGACCAAATCAATGGATTTTGGCAAAATACCGGTTCTAGGGTAAAATGGATGGTTTTCCGGTCCGATCGTCCAGCTTGGTCTGGTCCATTCGATCCGGGAACCAAACCCCTGACCGGTTCGTTGTCTGATTCAAACGAATGGCCCGCTCGTTGGACCCTTGACCAGCCAAGGGTCTGGTCCGAGTCGAACAGGCCGTCCATTCGAATCAAACGGATGACCCATTCTGACAAAAAAAATAAAAAAACAAAAAAATAAAAAAACAAAACTATTGGACGGTTCGATCAGCGGTTTGCTAAGCAAATCAACGGTTTTGGGGTAAAATGGACGGTTTTCCTGTTTGACCGTCTAGTTGATTTCGTTCCATTCTGGCCACCGGTTTTTGAGTCGATAGTTCAACCGTCCAATTCAAATGAATGGCTCATTTTGACATAAAAATTTTAAAAACTAATTAAAATATAAAATGGCCAAAATCATTGAACGGATCGACAGGTCATTGACCTATTTAAAGGTTTTTAGCCAGGAACTGGATTTGAGATAAAACTAAACCAGTTGTCCGAATGATTCTCGGACCAAACGTTTTGACCGTTCGGTTCAACAGCGATTCAAAAACCATAAATAAATTTAAAGTTTTTTTTTTATTTTTTAGGTTTTTTTATCGAAATTTTTTGGGGTAAAAAAAGGGAAAATTCTCGATAGGCAGCCCGCGTTGTAAAGATGTGTAGCCAGCCAAACTCGTTCATTTACTTCACGCCAAGCTCGTGTCCTCCTTTGCCTCTACATTTTATCTTGGCTATAGAAGAACGGTAAAACTTCGCCAATCGCCATGAGAGAAAGGAAACAGCCAAAGGAGAACAGGTATGTTTCCTCAACTCTTCTTTTTCATCTCATCTACTGTTCCTGCTTTTCTTTCTCTCTGTTTTCTTTTTCTACTTAGAAACAAATTAGCACTCGGTCTTCTGAGTAAACACGGCAATTTTACTCTACTTTTTAGTAGAGACATTCCCATTAGATTGGGTTGCTTCCTTCTCAATATTACACCGGAATAATTGGTTTATTTTTTTTAAGTTGTTACCCAGAATTCGGACCGAAATATCAAACTACGTTTTCTCACAAAATTGGAACCGAAACATGAATATGCAGTGTCAGAATCAATTTTAGATGCTAACTGAAACTCATCAACTGTATCTTTGAATTAGAACAGAGATCGGATTCTGAATTTCTCCATTACAGGTTCCACTGTAAACCCCGACTGCTTCAGCTTTACTTTTTTTCCCCCTTTAATTTCTTCTCATTCTTCTTTACCACAAGAACTGATTGGAAATAACATTTTCTAACACTTTCTGACATTTCTATACGGTGGCCAAACCCGAAAATTCATAGTATGCAACACTCAAATTGCAATCTCTTTAATGTCACAGTATTCGGCGAGAATCGTTTCGTTAATATCTACCCATGCGTTAACAATTCTCGATGAACGGAAGGCCTATGAAACGCCTCAGCCACAAATACCCTATTAACTAGAGATTGAGGAAAATTAGTGGGGTTATTGTTATGTAATTGCTAGTATATTAACATATTCTATAATTGTTTATTCACATATTATTTGAACAACTATTTACTATTTTGCAGACCCATGGATTTAGGAGTTCAAATTCGGATGGTCTTCGTTCCTGTGGCTCATGTGAGTAACTTGAAGTTGGTTTTCTTTCCTACCCTTTGTGCAAGGGCATCCCTACGATGATATATGCATTTTATGATCTTTTGGTTTAGGGTATTTAGTCCATGCGATCCAGTTGTTAGAGAGGACATTGTGAAATTCATATGAGGACAGCATGCCATCACAAGGATTCATGTATTCTAAACTTCATATCTTACACATTGGCATTGCTCTGAATTGTCAAAGAATTCGAGTTATGGTTTCCGTCTTCTAGGCACGTTATGTTGAAGTTGGAAGATTCATTACCCCTCCAATGTTAACCCCAGGTTGTGGGCTAGTGTAGTGGCTGTTGTTGATTGATGTACGAGTTGAAGAATATAGAACTAATCTGCCTAGACAAATGGTCAGATTTTATAAATAATTAACATCTTTATTTTGAATTGGTTTAAAACTCCCAATATACACATATACATACATGTAGACATACAAATGCATGTACATGTTTTGAAAACTGAGTCACACATTTGACTGGAAAGGGGGCTTTTCCTCGTTTTCATGGCTCATCCAACTGATGTGGTTTTCAAAATTTTGATACACATACAGATACAAATACATAAGCATATATATATAACATGCCATTAAAGTTAAGGTGGTTGCCTTGCTTGTTGGTTATATACATATACATATAACAGTCCTTCCTCCTACTTACTCCTCCTCATCCTCCTTCCTCTTAAGGAGGCTTATGCCACCTTGTGCTTGGGAGGCTTACACCTCTTACATTCTAAACTATGCCTCACACCTGTAGGTAGTGAAATGCCTCACATTACACCTCCACGTTTTAAAACATTGATTTTGACAACTTTATCTGTATTTGTGTAATTTATCAAGTAAGATATCTCAATAATCAAGTATATATGAACTTAGTTTTGTTTTATTTTTGTACACTATTAAAAAAACATTTCAAAGAAATTGTTGAGTGGGGCCACCGATTTGTGTTTAGTTTATTTTCTTTTAAATTAAGAAGTTGTTGGGCCTTGGGCCATTAGTTTTTTTTTTATTTTTAAAAGGGTTGTAACTATTTAGTTTGAGTTGCCGCCCTACTAAGGGCATCTTTGTAATATCTCATATTTAAGTTAAATATAAATAGAATGAGGGGCTGGCGGCTAGGTTTAATATACAAAACCCTAGTTGACCTTCTTCTTCTTCCTTCCCTTTTCTCTTTCTATTGCTGAAATCTACAACTTTCTCCTCTTCCTTTCACAAGAAGCTTGACCGAATCAGCAGATAGTGGTTTCTACTGAAATCTTGTTGAAAGCACTGTTGTAGTGGCCTTGAGAAGCTTTGTGTTTACGTGCAAATTCCAACTGTTTTATCTGCTTATTGACATGTTAGTGGTTCCTCTCATGGTAAAAGTCTGCCGTGAATATTTTGGTTTGAAAATCTTGTATTGATCAGATCATAGACTGATTGAAACTATATATTTTTTATAAGTAAAAATGGCTGCATTCTGAATTTATGCACATAGGAAATGGTATATTTTGTCAGTGCATCTGCATCTGCATTCCTGTGAAGCTGCTCAACTGCTATCTGCCTTGTGGATGCCTATGCTAAAAGGTTGTATTTCCACAATCTTGATGTTATGGTTGGAAATTGGAAAATAAAACATTCAATCTTTGGGATGAAAGAGTATCCCTTAGGTGGTTAGGATTCTCCAAGTAATATAATTATTTAATTTTTTTATCTGCAATTTATATGCTTATTCAACTACAGCCCAAAACTGGATCAGTCAGCATAAGAGTTGTGGTCATTCATGTGCATAATACTTGTATTAAGCTTATTTTTAAATTTCCTGTGCTTTCCTTGCAGATTCAAAACTTGTGTATGCATTTAAGACTTGTACCCTATTCATGACTGTTTTGACAATTGGTCTGGTAATCAGTCACATCAGTGAAGTGTGGTTGTAAAATTCCTTTTTAACTTTTTACTCTTTTTTTCATCACACTTTCTTTAAATTGGCTTAAAATGCTAATATTAAATAGCTTACCTTCTCTCAAAAAAAGGCTTAAAATGCTAATATTAAATAGTTTTTGTTCTTTAAGATACTATCAGGACTGAAATGTTTAAAATATCTCATAATTTCATGTTGATAAGATGTCATTTGAGGCTTATGCCTTGAGACAAGTCTAATAGAAAACACCCTAAGGTTCAATCTGGAGGCCACACCTAAAAGTATAGGGCACTTGCTTCACAGCTTGAGGTGTTTTATGTCAATTATGTGTTTCATGAATAACTGCGGTAGGTTTCTCATTACATGATCAAGTTAAAAACCCCTTCTATGTTTTTTTTTTTTTTTGATATGTGCTTGTGGTTTGATTTAATATGTATGATTTTTAATACAGATTTGATGTTTTGATTCTAGTGTGAGCTTGTCTTAGACCACCAGGCCCAATCCCAGATAAAGGGGGAGGGTTGTGTCAGGTTGGCAGCCGGAATTAAAACTTTTGCCTAACTCGTATGGTCATGGATAGCCAATCCCATATGTTGGGATGAGGCTTTGATGATGATTGTTTTGCTTGCATCATGAATGCATAGACTAACACCTTAGGAACACTAGTAGACAATTGCAAGGAATAGACTAACACTCTATGAATATTAGTTGATCACTTCATCTCAAAGCTTTAAGGTTTGTCTTGTAGGCAATAGAGGGGTATTTGTGCATATTGGTAGGAAATGAAGTGTGCATTTCATGGTGAAGGCATAAAAACAGAAAAAAAAAAACCATCCCTACCTAAGTTAACAAACTCAATCTGGGCTTTAGCCATGATCATCTGTCATTTTATGGCATGCAGGTTTTAAGTATCGATTATATATGTAAGGTTGTGCTTCGAATACTCTGGCATTGTGTACACCTTGTTGTCAGCATATGGTACTTTGTTCTGAGAATGGTTCAGATGCTTCAAAGCCACATTATCTCAAGTGGGTTGTTGGTGAAGTACAAATCCCTTGATTTAAGTAACCTCCATTACCTAGCTGTTGTAGTAGACAGTGAAGAAGCTCAGCATACTTCCAGAATTCTTAAGCTTTTAAGTTGGTTAGCATCTATTGGCGTGAAGCATGTCTCTCTATATGATATGGATGGTGAGGACACAAGAACAAATCTTAAGTGGGAGTTGGGTGTAGATTTACTTCTGTCAAATTTCTTTTCTTTTGATAAGTTTTACTTCTCTCAAACAGATCTAATTTTGACACTCTGTTATTTTAGGAGTTCTGAAGGAATCAAAGGGTATCATTTTCGAGAAATTGGGTTGCAAAAGAACATGGGAGGTAGTACTCTAAGTTATTTTTATTCTATAACTCATTTGTATTAAATGTTTATATCAGATCATTTACTTCCATGTCATGAAGTTCATTAGACTGTTTACCCCAAAAAAGCTCATGACTGCTAGGCTCCCTACCTTTGGTTGAACTCATTAAGAAAAAATATTCTCATGTTTTTTTCCTGGTTGTATTATCAATTTGTAGTATTAATTAACATGCTCATTGGTTACATTTTTAGATTTATGACATGCTTATGTTCGATAGTTCTAATTTGGTTAAACTATCTAAAATACAAATTAAGTATACATTTAACTTTCTATTCAACAATAATCATTTATGTTTCTCTAAGCTTACATCTTAAAATTTTCTCCAGTTGTAAACATGGTTATAAAAGGCCTTAAGGTGAGGCGAAGAGGTGTATGCCTTTAGTTTAGTTTTGAGGCGGGTTTTACTTGAGGCATGTGCCTACATTACTACTATTGCAAAAAAAAAAAAAAAAAAAAGAGCTCAAGAATATTAAATGGGTATAGAAGAAATTGGTGCTGTACTGTAAAAAAATAGCCAAGAAAATCAACTTAGGGTTTAGATATTTACCGAGGTATTCTTCTTTCAAGAGATTCAAATACTGAAATAGAGGTGCAGAAAAGATGAACACAATATTCTAGAATACGACTTATGGAGGAGATTGGTTTAGGTGGCTTCTTCTGTTTTTGGCTGCTCAGTCAGTCAATCAACCTGAAATAGAGAAGATAAATTTCTCATCTCAAGGTTTTAGCATTTGAATCTACAATTTCCTCCAAAATTCGTCACAGATACTAGAAATTTGAGAAGTTAAAAAATGAGATGCCATGGAGAATACAAAGGGCACCATTAAAAATCAAAACTGGAGTGCCTTCTCTAATGGAGTTAAAGATTCTAGATGCAACACCATGTGAAGCCAGAGATTTGTCCACTATGTTCTTTGTCATCGATCTCAGATTTTCAATGAGAACCCACCATTGTGCTTGCTCATATCCCCCTCTTTCTTTCTAAACCCATATGTTGTCATTCTAGTTTTATCAGTATCTCCTATTGGCATGCAGTGCATGATTGCATGTGACTACTTAGATATCAGGTATAGTGTTCTTGTCTTATGATGATTAATGAGCATGGTCTCCACTTCCACCTGTACTTTGCTGGTATGAGGTGTTGCTTTGCTGTCATGCTTTAAGACTAGCTTATACTGTTAGAAGAATGAAATGGAGAGTGGTGAAGAGTTGTAGCAGAATTTGTACGGGCCCATAGTGAAGTCGGTGGAATTCAATAATGCACATCAGTGGTGAGAATTCTATTATAGATATGGCATCTAGTGTCATAGAAACATGTTCCAACTCATTGAATATGTGGAACTGATTTGATTTACTGAAGACATTTGTTATGACGATGGAAAAAGTCAATTTAGGTTCAGAAGAAGTTATCCAGTGGTACAGTAATACACCACAAATAAATAGTTAAAATAATGAACAATATGATAATATATTAAGTTTGTATGATTTTATCCTAGTTAAATTTTATTCTTTTAATTTGTCAATGGTTTATTTTATCTTTTAAATAATTGAAATATTTTTTATTAGTCAAAGATGAATAGGAATCGGGACTATCTTTCTAAGCCTTAAATTTGTTTTTACTTAGGGTTTTCACATTGAGGGTTTACTTTTTGCAATTAAATAATTGAAATAATGTGTCTGTTGTTTTGAATAGCGTATACTGTATAGATATAGTTTATATTAATATAAATTATACATTATGAATTTTGATTTATACATTGTGAACTTTGGACCATAAATTTTGATTATTCATTTATTGTTTAATATGCATTTCTTTTATACTAATTGGTATGATACAGTGTTATTTTTCTATTATGAGAAAACACACACACACACATAGCGGGTTGACAGGATTTCACAAAAAAGGTGAATCGAATGCTTTTTAGTTTTCATGTCTCTATTATTTATAAATTTTATCTATAAATTTTGGATTTTTTGAGACTTATGCCTCAAAAAGCCTTGAAGCCTACACCTTGCCTCTTTGAGACTGAACTGCCTTGCCTCCACCTTCAGCCTTTTAAAGCCTTGGTTGTAAATTAGGCTAATATAAAGTTGATGAGCAATGCTGTATTAGCTAGTGAGCTCTAATAAAGTGCAATGAAATATTCAAAAAAAAAAAAAAAAAAAACTGCAATGCAATCTTCCCAGTTTAGTTGGACAAAGGAACAATTTGAGAGCACTTCTCCCCAAGTCTGGGGCTGCCAAAAATCCAAGGCAGATGGTTTTATTGGAGCTTGTTCATTTTGGTAGTGCTAGAGAAGGAAGTATGTCAGTATGATCATTAAGACAATGGTATATATTTGTGCTAATTTAAACCACTAAAATATAAAATTGACATGACTAGGAACTGGATATTTGTACATAGCTAACCAGGATTTTGAGGAACCATTTCTTCTGTGTAAATATGAAATGTTCAAGATCCAACTGGTTATTTCTCTTGATTTCAGTGTTACTAGGGCCTTATTTAAAATTTCGGGTTTTTTTTTTCTATTTTATGTTGGTTTGGTTTATGAGGATTTAAGTTTATTTTGGATTAGTTAATCAAAGGATTTTTTTGTAACTTTGTATTAACTATTTATATTAATTATTATTATGTATGCCTCTTTACATAATGTTGCTCTACACTTCAAAAAAAACAGTGTTACTCTAAATGCAAGTTACTAATTAAGCTCTGGATCATGCTTGCCCGGTTTGTTGGTTTGCCTGGTTCAAATTCAGGTTCCCTATTCATAAGTTACCACTCTTAAGTACACTGAGTTTATTATGGGTAGGCTTTTAAAATTCACCTCTCTGTTCACCTAGTCTAGATTCATCTTGTTCAATTAGCTTTCACTCAGGTATGCTTAAATCGCCGAGTTACTGATCAGGGCTCTCAATAGAGCCCGAAAGTCCACAATATGATCTGAATATTTTGGATTCAAATGATCTGCTTACATAAACAAATCGAACTCAGGTTCTAAAAGTTTGGTCCATTTAATAATTGGATTGAATGCAGATCTAACCATATTTTATCTGATTAAGATCCAAATCCAACATAATATATATTATCATAATCTAAGACTTGTCCTAACTATATGAGGTTGGCTACATAATCCTGTTTTGTCATTCTGTTTTTTTCAGTGCCATATCCTTTGTTAAACTTACCAGTGTGAGCTTGTCTTACACTGCCAATCCCAATTTCAGATAAAGGACAAGGTCAACAGTCAGCATTAAAACTTTTGCCAAACTCCTATATAGATAGATTTAATCTGAAAACCTGAAAATCTGGTAGGATTTGAATTTGATCCAAGACCTCCAGATCCTATCAGATTTTGTACCGAATTCAGTAGGGGCTTTTTGATAATCAGATTGAACTTGGATGTGGCTGGATCCTATCTGAATCAAACCCAATTGTAGTCCTATTAGTTAAGTAGATTAAGGTATACTAATAGAAGATATACGTGTATGTTTTTTTTTTCAGAAAGATATACGGGTATGTTACAACATCATGTCATTATCACTTAGTCTAAGGGCTCAGTATGTACCTCCTAGATTTTACTTCGTACTTGTTAGGCTTTCTTATTTTGATCTGGTAATTTGCGTATTTAAATCTTTACAGGAGATACAGTTCAGTAATGTCAGATCATTTTTCAAAATTTTCATGAACCTAGCAAACTAGTAGAAAACGAAAAAGTTCTCAAGCTGTACTAAGTGAATTAGGTAACTATATTCTGGACCTCTTATGATTTTTTAGGTTTCATTTTAAATTGCTTTTCAAAGAGAGGTAAGCACCGTAAGTAATTTACAGTTGCATCTCAAGTACAAGTTAATCAGACCACTTTTTTATGGATGATCTAGTGAAATTAGTTTAGTCTATTTTCTAGTTATTTCTTTGTTGTATTTGTTTCCTGATCAGTAACAAAAAGTGTACTAATATTATAAAAGGACCATAAATTCCAGAACCTGATGTTTTCTAGCTATTTATTTGTTGTCTTATTGCTTTTATCTTAATACAGAACCTGATGTTTAGTAACCCATAATATAATTCATGCTTTAAAACCATTCCCGGTTGAACTTTGGTCCATACAAAAACACCTTATTAGACTCTTTTATTCATTGTAAGCCATCTTGTTTTCATTTCTTGCAAGAACATCCTAAATCATTATTTAGCATTGCTTTAGTCTTCTCCCTTCCAATCGTATTCTGCTTCTTTTATAGACATGCTGCCATAAAAAATGGTTCATGAAAGAGGTTCTCTGGAATATTGGTATTAGAATATCTTATCATCAATTAGACCCTCAATCTAAATTGGTTCCAAACACTTCATAAATACAGAAAATGAAAACAAGATAAAGGGACATAATGCCTTTACTATGGCAAGCGCTCTCAAGACTGTTATTACCAGGACCTTCTAAAAGGATATATGACAAAGATAGCCTCTTTATTCCATACAATAGAACAGCTTGCCTTTGAAGGCATCTAGATTACTAAAAAGGCTTCCCAAAGGATATGACAGTAAAGCCTCTCAGTACCTTAATTTAAATTAGAATAAGACATTTTTTTAGCCCTTATAACAGCCATACCAGCCTTGTTTATGTTGGGCCTATGTAACACCAAGCCCTAACCATGGTTAGAGAATATTTGAACTCCATATGTATATAATCTGAATAGTTTTTCTTTTGCATTTCCTCTATTCTACCCTATTATGTTAAGCTTAAGTGTGAATCTTAATTTGGGAGTCATGCAACTTAAATTATTTCCTGCAGGAAGTAGATGAAAAAATATCACTTTTGGAAGGAAAGCCAATGAAATTGGAATTTGTTTCATCCTGTGATGGAAAAGAAGGGGCTGCTAAAGCAGCTAGCTTTCTCTTCTCCAAGTATTTGAAAGCAGCTAATTCACATGGAAACCAAGAAGGGCTAATCATTACAGAACCTGACATGACAAATGCACTAAAAGCTGTTGGTTCGTTCTTGTTTTACCTGCTGAATAAACTTTATATGTTTCTTCATTTCAAGACCCAATGCTCCTTCCTTGTTGCCTTGTTGCCATTGCATTCTATTGATGCCAGGTTGTGGAGGGCCAGAACCTGATATTCTTCTAATTTATGGGCCTGTAAGGTGCCATCTAGGATTCCCAGCTTGGAGATTGCGATATACAGAATTTGTGTAAGCACTTTTTCTCTAAGGTCTGGTGAAAGGAATGTCGTGTATGTATAAAAAAAAGTTATGGTGCTTCAGGAGTATTACACAATGCATGCTTAGCATACCTATGGTATGGAGTCCAACTATAATAGCAGGATACCTAAAAACTAATAACTGATCAACTGATATCATTAGAAGCAGTAATCAATCAATTGGTGTCCATCAAAATTCACCGGAAGCAGGGGTCTAATTGGTCAAAGTTCTTCCAGTATCATACCCTTTCAGTATCATAGAAATGCCCATATATAGGCAAGTTGGGTTCGGGTAGGGTTGGGTTGGGTGGGCCAATGCATCAACCCTAACCTGACCTTCGACCAAACCCAACTTTTTCAGGGCTGTATGGGCCTCTCATATACTTGTAAGTTGGTTGTGCAAACTTGGTAGAATAGTAGGTATAATTATACCAACAAGAGTCTTGGTTTCAATTAATTGTCGAAAAGACTTGGTTAACTGCTGAAGTCACGTCATGGACATAATTGATATAACTTATCTATTTTGTGATGGGCTCGTATTTCTGGCAAATACAATGAGTAAAATAGAAAATACAGTAGTTTTCCATTTTGTTATGGTTTGCTTTTTGTCCAAAATATTTTCTATTTTTTTTCTTTGATCGTAGGCACAACCCTTACAATTTGAGTTTTATGCACATGAATCAAGAGGTCCTACCTGTTGCTATTTGCACTTGCCCTCCTAGATAGTTGATCAAAGTTCAACGATTATCTTATTATCTATGTAATTCAACTTTCTATTGATTGATCTGTATGTCTGTGCAAAAAGCAAATGGTTGGGTTCTAATCCAGACCGACCATCCCTCTCAAGACCCCAGGTAGCAAGGACCAGCATCGGATGATGTGTTTATTGTAGATGTTTTTTGTTTCCTTTCTTCATGCAGAAACATACTTACTCCTCTTTGTTTGCTTAGGTTTATTTTCCTACATTTAAGTTTTTGTTGTTTTTACAGACATATGGGACCATTAAAGTCCATGTCATATGGTTCGGTAATTAAAGCCATCCACAAATTCACAAAGGTGCATCAAAACTATGGTAAGTGATTACAATTTAGAACTCTCCTAATGAAGCATCCCCCCTCTCCGGGGGGAATTTATTTATTGTATAAAAGCTCACTTCTAATTTGTTCAGTGCTCCTCCCCATCCATATTTTGGAAGTTTAAGACCTTCAGATGAAAGAAAGAAATGAAGTGAACATATTATTGGGTTGAACATGTTATATAATATCTCTGTGTCATCAGGTTCATGAGACCAGTGCTGATAGTTTGGCATTCCAAGAACAGTCTTGAACAAGAGATGCAGTAGCAAGTTACAGTAATCTGATCACAGCAAACACAAAAGCATCCCGACCTTCACCTTTGTGATGCTATAGAGTATTTATTTTCCACACATCTCACTGTTTTAGACTTTTAGTTTATAATCAACAATATTGTCAGCTTTTCACGAAACAATATCCAATTCATTTTTGTTTCCTGAGGTGGGCTCAAGGGGCTGACGTGTGGAGCAAGTGGAGTCATCTGTGTCGTTTATAATGGTCTGTAAGTCTGTATTTGCCAGTGGTATTGATGAATATCGATGGGTGCTCATCAATATTTCATCTTATATATGCCGAAAAGTTAAAACAAAAAATAGAAAAAAAATAAAGAAAGAAAAACGGATATGTGTGCAATACAAATAAATACAAAACACCAGGTTTTGCACTCTACATATTTGCATTTGCACTCCTTCCAAACTGAGCCTTAGTCTTTTAAGCAGATGCCTGACTAAGAAAATTGCCTTATGACTATTAATTAGATGTAGGGCTACAAATAAAGCGGATCAAACCAAATATCAGATAGGTCCAAATTTAATTTACTTGTATTCAATCTAGTCTCTATCTGTTGGATTTATATCAAATTTGGATTGCAATTGGATATTGAATTGTATTAATAAATTAAACTAAAAATTACCAAAACGTTATATATTGTTGATAAATTAATTAAAAATTGTTTCTATATTGTATATCATTATCATGAGAAAAATATATCAAAAATGAATTTTGTGAACCTTTTTCGGTTCATAGATACAAGTTTTTTCCTATGGGCTTTGAACAATGACCCCACCTACCACATGAATTTTGACAAGTGCTACCTGATTGATTACCACCACTTCTATGATAGTTGAATCCAATATAAATTTCAGATTTATTTGATTGGATAGGGATGGGTCGTTATAAACGGATCAAAATCATCCTTAACAGGACCAATATAAATTTCAGATTTTATTTGTTGATTATAAACGAATACCATTTACAGCCCCGAATACGATAGGAACAAGGTGAAGCTAAATTCCACGGCTATAAAAGGCTCTCTGTATAGCATTCTATCACCTAGATTCCACCCAAAATCCAAGGATCTGATTTTATATATATATATATATAACTTCTATGATTACAACCAATTAAAATATCAACCGTCTAAGCATCACCACGACAATGATCCACGTTAATTGTAATCCAACGGTGAAATAAATCCATTTCAATTTCATGCAATAGGTAAAGACAAGTTCCAAATCCTCAAACCCAAGGTTTTTAAAACAGACCCGGAGAACGAATCGGTCAGGGGTCCAGTTTCCAGGCCGAACAGTCTGACCGTTTTAACCGAATAGCCGACTCATTATGACAAATTTAAAAAAAAAAATCAAAAATGATCAAAACTGTTTGAACGGTTAATTGCCCAAGTCAGTGGTTTGTTGATCAAAATCAACGGTTTTTGGAGAAAATCCGGTTTTGGGAAAAAAGGGAACCAGTCGGTCCAACCGTCCAGTCTGGTCCGGTTTTGAAAACCATGCTCAAACCAATGGTTAGCATCAAGCCCCATCAACTCCAATTGGGAGTCAAGACTACGAGTTTGGGAGTGCTTAAAAATAAGTACTTATTCAAATAAGCATTAATTTTAGGACAGGACCACATCAATAAGCATTTATTTATGTTTGAGAAATAAACTCGAAATAAATGTTTATTCTGAGAATAAGTACTTATTTGAGAAGCCCAAATTTTGGGCTTATTCTTAAGTGCTTATTTCCTTTCTGGCCTATATTGGCCCACCACATCATTTATTTTAAAAATACCTATGCTACCCCTATTTAAAATAAGTGCTTTTTCACCAAATGCTCATAAATTCTTATTAAAATAAGCAATTATTTTTCAAATGAGCATAAACTTGGCCTAAACTCACTTCACTTTGAAACCACAAAAAAGAATACAGGAAAAGGAGAGAGTGGAGGAAAAGGCAGAACTACGAAAACTAAGTTTGGGAATGCTTATTTGAAAAATAAGTGTTTATTAGAATAAATACTTATGAGCATTGGTGAAAAAAGCACTTATTTTAAATGGGTAGAATAGATATTTTCAAAATGATGTGATGGACCAAGATAGGCCAAAAGGGAAATAAACACTAAGACTACATTTGGCATTCCTTATTTTAAGGACCTCTCTCCTTTTTGCAGTTAAAATGCACATATGAAAACTGAGTTTTTAACTGCAAAAAGGAGATAAGTCCTTAAAATAAGGAATGCCAAATGCAGCCTAATTGAAGCCCAAAATTGAGATTTCTCATTATTCTCAAATAAGCACTTATGAATTTATTTTCTAAAAATAAGTACTTATTGTGTGTTTCCATCCCAAAACAAATGATTATTGAATAAGCACTTGTATTTTTAGTCACTCTCAAACTTGACTGAAGTTTAGGAAATGGTCATTTACTAGAACACCCTCTATAGTTTCACATATTTACTTAAACCTACCCTATAGTTTACATTTTATTAAAACACCCCTTATAGTTTGCAACCTAAGCTCAGTTTGGAAGAAATACAAATACAAATACATACAAAATACAAGGTTTTGCACTCTACATATATGTATTTGTACTCCTTCCAAATGGAGCCCTAGTTACTTAATCCACCTTTCATTTAGAACTATTGGCTTTGCCATCTGAAAATAGTAGCATGATCACCTAAACAAAGTGCAAAATGTTTAAGGGCATGGACCCCTTGTTTATTCCAAAAGTACCCCTAAATTGAGTGGAAATGTTCAAGGGTATGAATCCATGGTTGTCTATTCTAAAAATACCCCTAACACTTTTTGGTGTAGAAAACAAAATTGACTAAATAGATAAAAATAGAGTGGTTGTCCATGTTTTAATTGGGGCAAAAATGGTATTTTTATTTTTAATTTCTTTTGATTAAATTTATTTGAAGGAATATTAGCGTTAAAACTGTTATTTTACACTTGATCTAATGGAAGGTTGATTAAGTAAATTGATCACAAACTATAGGTGATGATGTTTTAATAAAACAGAAACTATAAGGTAGAATTTAGTAAATTTATGAAACTATAGTGGTGTTTTAGTAAATGGCACTTTAAGAAACTTCAAAGAACAACTATTCTATTAATATCGAAAGTATGGAAAAGGAGTATAGTCTTGAATCCGTAATTGAAAATATTCCCAACTGATCATTCTTAGTAGTGCAACAGCAACTCTACAACCATTACTGAGGAGAGTCTTTGGCTTTCTCTCACTCAGTATTCAGCCATTCATCACGTTCTCAACCCAAGTTACCCAACTTACATCGTTGTTCCAGATTTCAGAGCTTCAGACATTCTCTTCAGTCATCAAGATAGAACACAACTCCCAACTTTGAAAGAAGAATATCGCTGCTCTTTCTCATTGATCTACGTTTCGTAACTACAACCTTCCAAAAAGAAAACGATAGAAAGAAATAGATTTGTTTCGTTGAATCAGAACAGAAAAACTAAAGTAAAATAGAAAAAACATAGTGCAAGAAAGAGAGAAGTAGAACTCCTACTACTCGAAAACCCATTGATTCTCTCTACGAAGAGCTTCCTCTTCATGGGGTTCAAAGTCATTCTTAATGCCGAAAATATCACGGACCTCTTCTACGGTCTTGTCCTTGATTTTGTCGGCAATGGCTTGGCAAGTCAATTCCAAGAGCTCCTCTATGTGGAGGTAATTTGCAGCCAACGCGTAATTGAGAAGCTGCGAATAATCGGCATTGACGAATTCTTTGTCGAACTCTTTGATGTTCTTCTCCGAGACATCCGCATCAACCTCCGCACGGGCTTTGACGTGCTCCTTGCAGAACTCGATGACCTTCGAGAGTACTCTGCCCGTCACGTTCGGGATGGGTATGATTGTGGTTTCCAAATCCTCCTCGATTATGTTCTTTATCGTGATCGACTCCATCGCCACCTTCACATCCACCTCGAAGATTTCACCGTCCGAGCTCCTTAGTATTGCATTCTTTGTAGTCTCGTCGGTGTTCGTTGAGGCACTCTCGTTGTTGTTGTTCGACGACGACGATGACATGGCTACCTACGATCGGCCGGCGTCTGTACTGTTATAACAAAAGAGAAAAACAAATCAACTAAACAAGAACACGGTGAAAGATTTTATTACCGAATGAATGATTTAATGTAACAGAAACCTAAAACCCTAGGCAAACTATTGTCGCCATAAACAAAAAAGATTTTATCACCAAAAAGATTGAAAAAGAAAAGTAGAGAACGGGGACGAGAGAGATGGAATCATAACCTAATAACAGAGAAACCGGCTTCTTCTCTGCAAAGTGAACGAAAGAATAAGATGATGACGACGACGATTATGACGATGAATTGATGATGAGACTGAAGTCCGAGACGTAGGTGATGCAAATTAAACCTACCAACCTAATTTATTTTAGAATTTCTTTATTTTCCTTCTTTTAGTTTTGACTTCTAGAACATAGCGTAGGCGCAATGCATTACGAGGGTGCTGTAATCATTCACAATTCCCAGACCATATGGCCTATGGGCATATCAATTTTGATCAAGCCGGACCAGCCGGATTAGGGCATATAACTCAAACCTGACCGTATCAACCGGACCAGGCCAACCCGAGTTTCAAGGCTCTGTGACCCGTGTGGGCCCAATAACCACTAACTGGGTTAAGCTGGGCCCAATGTAGTCAGCCTTTGCTTCTTCGTTGGATTGGGACTCTCTGTTGATGACTGATTGACTGCCCTGGTGAGTGGTGACTCATCAGCTGCAAACTTCAGTCCACTTATTGGTTGTGATGAAGACTGAAGAGCAACTCTGCAACAAAACATTTCAAGCAATCAAATATCATGAATTATAACAAGGCAAGTCAAACGGATCGATCTCTGCGCTATAAAACGATCGGATCCAGTTGCATCCGTATCCACATACGATAATGAAACAAACCTTTAGATTCGTATTTGCATTCAATTATCATGTAGGATTTTAGATTGGATTCAAATTTAATTTATAATCATTCTATTGTGTTTAAAATAATCAAAAAATAAATAAATTATTTTTAATTTATGTCTATATTAAATGTATATAAATATAAAATATTAAATTTATCAATAATAAACTTTATATAATTATACATACTTATATTACATATTTACATAAAATACTAATTTTTATCGGACTCAAATTTTAATCAGATCAAATAGGGTTAAATCGGCATCCAAACTAATTATTAATCAGATGCAAATCTAAAATTTGGGACAATTAGATTTGGAGTGAAAAAAAAAAACAATTTTTCAAACTTATTCAAAATGGACTTCTTACCTAAAAAACACTTATTCGGGCTTATTTTCAAAATGCATATAAGTGCTTATTATTGGTATGGTCCCAACCTAAAATAAGTACTTTTTCCAATAAGTGTCTAAAATAATACTCTAAAATGGGGGCTGAAACTTGTTGTTTACTCAAATTTGTGCTCTACAGCCCAATGATCAAAAACTCAAAAGCAAAAAAACTTGTCCGAGTGAAGCCTAATTTTTCTATTTGAACAATCTTAGGAGTGGTTCTCTTCATGGGCACTCTTCTACAGAATAATTAAAATATTCATACATACCTTGACAAACAAATATAAATCTCATTAATGCTTAAAGAATAACTAATTTTAATAGTCTAGTTATTAAAAGTTATAAAACTTAAAATCCATGTTAGTTTAACAAGTGGTGAAATTTAAACCTTGAAGCTGCACATGATTTTTAAGTGTTTTAAATAGGCTTGTATTTGGTTTGAAAGAAAAGGTGAAGAAAGAAAAGGAAAGGTAAGAAAACCTGTACAAACCTTGTATAGAATTTTCTACCTTTTCAGTCAAACCAAAACACAGCCTAAGGATAAATCTATTATTCCAGAAAGCTGAAAGGTATGATATGGAAATAGCTTTGACCATCAAAATCCAACATGAATTTTAGGTGTGAGCAAAAAAAAATGAAAAATCGGTTACCAAGGGTACCAGTTCAGTTTCGGTTAATCAATATCGAAAATCAATAGTTAATCAAACCGACCGGTATACATACATTTCTATATATTTTATATATTTATGTATATTATATCTTATATATATATATATATATATATATATATATATTTATAATATATGATATATTATTTATTAATTAAAATATAATATTTTTATTATATATATATATATATATTATAAAAATTAAAAAACTACAAAACCGACGGTTAACCGAACCGGTCAACCAGTTAACCAACTGGTTTCAGTTCAGTTTCTGTTACTGATTTTCCAAAAACCGGTTGTACCGGTTCGGTCCAAGAGAAAGCCCCACCCCCACGGTTCGGACCGTGAGCACCCCTAATGAATTTTGATTAATACGTCCCGATTGATTACAACTTTTATGTTAGGGGTTGATTGGTTATAAATTTTTTTATTACCACGTGCATTCAATGCTTCCCTAAGAAGTTAAAATTGCGTTTATGGCATATGGGTGACTGCAGTGGCCTTTAAAAATCTGTGGTGTATGGGTGACTGCATATGGGTGTCATTCACTACAATGACCACAAAGCACACAACCAGTCTAATGCTGCTGCCTTCTATCCGTAACTCTGAAACTTGGTGTACCACCCCTATTCCCCTAAAACCCTGAACAATCAATATTCAATATCAAAGGAGATGAAATGCTAATTGTGATTGGATGAAATGGAATCTTCTATGAAAACATTAGCTATCAAGGTTTAATAACCTGTGGGCAAGGCTATCAACGCACACGTAAGAAGTTTACTCTGCACTGCGTCCAGCACGTATCAGCCTCATAAAACCAACGTGTAAGTGGAAAGAACCTTTTCGGCAAAAGCAAGGGGTGCTTAAGGATTCTTTGTTTTGGACCACTTTTTAGCTTTCCAAAAAGAACCTATTCGGCAAAGCATTTTTTCAAAATTGGTCTAAGGGTTTCTAAAAAATAAAAATGTCTTCGTGATACTTTTATCATACCGAAGAAAAAATGTTCATTGTAAACGACCAACGTTCTTGTTTAATCGATGGTGTACCAGTGTGCGCTGCAAGGGCTGTGAGGCGAGTATAAAAACTATTTTTGTGAGGAAATCCAAAACACCCCACATCGTGTAAGAAATCCAAAGTCCTGCTCCCTTCGGTCATCATATCTTGCCGGATTAAATCAAGCAGACGGCAAATTGATCAACATAAATAATGCTTTCCGCTGAATTCAACATAAATATTCAAAATTGACCAACAATTGACGCAAAAAAGGAAACTATCGTACAACTAAACATCTATACTACTACAAGTCTACAATTATCATATAACTTGTAAAGCAGATTCCGGATTGGCCTTCCGAAGGAAAACTATGAAAATTGTCGTTTATCTGATTCTGATGGACCTTGCTAAGCCTTTTTCTTTCGTTAATAAACAACCAAATCACATGGGCTCTGATTATATAAATATTACTCCACAAAACCGCGTGAACTGAAAACTCAGTGCCTGCTTCTCTATAAACGAGGGCCAAAAAAAATTCCTAAATGAACCTTTACAGATTTTTGCAGACAATGTATTTACAAATGCCTATGGACCACTTCTAATCTTCAACAGTCTGAATCTCACCCATCATGATGCGGTTACTAACAACATTAAACCCTAAAACTGATGGGCTCACTTTCTTCCCTTTCTTCCCCTTTTTCTTCCCTCCTCCTTTGGTTGACCCATCAAGACTTGCCGCCATATCTGCCTCAATGTCCCCAAGTCCTGCACTGTCAGTATTTACATCTGCAGCACCAAACCCAGTCAATTTTCTATCATTCCGAGATTGGAAAGCAATCTCAAGCACATCCGCTGGTAAGAGCTCCTTGTAATTGAGGAACTTGTCTATAAACTCATGGTCAGGATCAAATGAGCCAAGGTTTTCTATCAATAGTGTCTCGGCTTCTGGTGTTGGTTGCTTCAAACAAAATTCCAGGAAACTTGTATCTGGTAACAAGTAAATCACAAGAAAAAAAAAAGTACTTAGAGAAGAAAACAGAATAAAAGAAAGCAAAACTAAAAACCAGTGAGCTTCTCAGTTGAAGCCCAGGATTGGATAATATCCATCAGTGATCTCTGGTTTACAAGTTCGGCAATATCCATGACAAGCATATGTTCAACTGGATGAAGTCTAACCATCAGATTTACCAAAAGTGATAAATTAGGTTTGATTTCTGGACAGGGGGGATGTCTTGAGCAGTTTTGCAGTCTGTCAAAGAATGCCCATCATTAACACCTAATGTCAGGGTAACTCTAGATTCTTGACTTCATGTCAATGCTTTCAGGCAGTTGATCAAAGTTGAATCAACAGCTAAAGGTTGGGACTGGTCAGGCAGTCTGTGAAACGTGCACAGTCAAGTCCTGCACCACCATAACAGCCATAGGTTGTGTTTGGTACCATGGGCTTTTCCTGCCTGAAACGTTTTCGGTTGATCAATATAAATTAGTAATGTGTTGTCACATCATAGATGAGAGTCACGTATGCTATAATGATTATACTTAACCCCCCAAGAAAAAGAAACTTCAATTTGACATTTCAATTATAAACGCCAATGATCAGTCCAAAACATGCTTTTAAGGGTATTTTTGTTTCAACTATAAACAGCCTTAAATAATAGTTCTATGCCAATTTGTATTGATCAACCCAAAATTTCAGGTAGAAACATCAGTGTACCAAACACAACCATAGTTTACCAACAACACTTAATTTTGCATCAGAACACCCTACATTCTTCTATAATGTGAAGGGTTTGAGTAGGTCACTACCAGGGACAACATCATTCTACAAGTTTTCTCACATCCTTGCTTATGGCAGTAATCAATTGAAAAATGCAAACACTTGATAAAAAAAATAAAAACTGGGGCTTAATAAGAAAATACCCTTTGTGCCAGTAAGCCTAACAGATTCACTCTCACACCAATCTCTGAAGTCCATTGCCTCTGCAAAACATTATTGAATCCCAAGAGATAAGTGAAGTTCTTGAATAAATAGGGTATGCATGCTTAAGAGGCTCACCAGAATGCTTGCTTATGTTGTCTCTCTTCCCTTTTAGGGATGACTGAGAAACAGAAGGCGAGGATGAAAGAGCACTGTCTGTAGGTCTGCCAACAGAGGACTTCTGGCGAGTTGATGACCCTCCCACAGTTCCTTTTACAGGAGTGTTCTTTGATCCCCAACTGCTCTGTTTTGCTAGAGATGGGAAATCTGACCTGGCCACAAGAAATACAAGAAACTAATTAGACTGAGTAGAACAGCAAACTTAAGTGGTCACAAAAGAGAGCCACAAGCATTAAAATGGAGGAGCACCAAATTCCACAAGCTCCTATTTGTTGGCATAAAAAGGATAATTGAATGATGAAACTACTATGACAGATGATAGCAGTATCAAAAGCTGCAGAAGGGATTACTGATCAAAAAGAATGTGGTCAGAAGGAATACAATAACTAGAGTTCAACCACATGCAGGAAGATGCTGCACCAAGTTTGAAAGAACATGAATAATCTAGGTATCAACTCAAAATGAGTCATTGCTTCCAAATACACTTTTATCACAACTTTGTAGCAAGTCCTTATGATAGAATATGCTCTAAAACAAAAATCCATAGTCTTGTCCACCATTCAGTAAATTCATCTAAAGATCCTGTGAAAAGTTAATCTATCCAGATGCACAAAATCTGACTGAGATGACAACAGCCACCTTATAAAGACATCCCAACAAATCTCCACATTCTTTGACCATGCAAAAGCGGGTGAATCATCCGTCCAAACCAATTTTGATTTTGTTCCGTGATAGTAACTCCTAGCAACTAGGCGTATTAGGCCTTTGAATCCTTTATAATGAGTAGGATACAGTGTGACAAGAGCTACTTTCTCCCATTTGAAGTTTTATTATGCAGGTCAGAGATGTATAGTCATCTTAGTAAATTTATCAAGTGCATCATGAATGCCACAAATATGCACTACATAGTGCACTGGTTGAGTGGCGTGTGCATTTACATGTATGTCTGTGTGTGTGTGAGTGAGAGAGAGAGAAAGATTAGTCAATAACTCAGTTGGATAAATAATGAATGGATCTAAAACTAGTTAGTTGATGCGTATCTCTAGAGCTTTTTCCAGGACAAGGGGAACGGTGAATGGAAGTTCTTGGTCAATAATTTTAAACTAAGAGAAGAAATTCTGGGACTAAAAGGTATATGGTGGATGAAATAGACAAGGCTCCCGAAGGAAAAATTTGAATATGGACGAAAACACTATTACATGCTCAAAGGAATGACATATGCGAGGTTATTCAGAATAAGAGCTTCAGAAGAAAACTTTTGTGCAGTAAGCAAAAATTTCAGAGAAGTGTTCAGGTTTCAGAATCATGAGGAATAGAATTAGATCAAAAATATATGAGTGGTGCCTGCACAACGGACAAGTGTTCAGATAGATAAAAAATTGAGACTAATGCAGTAGATAGAGAGATTCAAGTAGTGAAGCGTTTGGGTGTTAAAAGGGGGAAAGAGTGTGCAAGGAAAATATTTTTGAAGTTAGGGCACATACGTGCAAGAGAGAGATTGTTAAAATCTGTGAAATCTAATAATTTTCTTAGGTTTTTCCCCAACCTTCCCATTTCTAATAATTTCTTTGAAACCAAATATGGCCATAAAGATTCAGAATCTACAAAGGTGGACTGATATGCAGGGTGGGGTATGAATAGAAAAATAATGATGGCTTGGTTTATGGAAGTGTAGGGAGATATTGAAGTGCTACTTTGGGACTGGAAAGAGCTCTTACATTGCACATTCCTTAAAAAGAAGAAGGTTAGAATTCATTTAACAAAGGTATTTCTTGTTGTTTTCATTTACTGTAAATGTGGGGGTTGATCATTACTTTTGGGACACTTAATTTACTAGGGATCAAGAGAACTTCATGATGAGATTTGGATTGTATGAGTTTTCTTTAGGATAGGGAAATTGTTTGTTAAATACCTGGATCTTCTTGGTGATTTATCATCACCATTCTTGTACTTTTTCTTTTTTTATTTTAATAGATTATATCAATAAAAAGAAAAGAGGGAGGTAAGAAAGAAATAAGTAGGGAGAGAAGAAAACAAATGGACAGAAGTTTCAAGGTGGTTATTTATTAAAAAAAAAAATTTGAGGTGGTTGTCGTTTTGATGTCAGACCAAGGCATTTACCAACATGCAACATCATATAGTAAAGATGATAATAATCAAGTATATTATTGCCTTCTAAGTAGGCAAATGGAAGGTATGGAAATGAGAACCAGAGAGAAGTCTCTGGTCTCAATTATGTTATACAGAAATTCATGAAAACCAATCATCATATTATAGTAAATTCCACCCATAACTTTAAAATAAACAGATTATATTTAAGTAATGATCACAAGAGAAAGGGGGATTTATAACAGGAACAATGACAATGATGTCACTCAAGTCCTTTCAGTGAAAGGGGGATTTATAACAGGAACAACGACAATGATGTCACTGAAGTCCTTTCACCTAGATGCAGCCTGATAAAAATCTAATGACATCTTTGAAAGCATCCAAGACAACAAATCATATAGACAGAATAAACACTAGGGATACCATAAGGTAGTCAGAGAAAATAAATGTAGAAAGAGTTCCAAAACATACTGTTTGGGCTCATGCTTTGATTGATCAAGAGGACCCCAGAATAGATCATCTTCCACCTTAGACTTTGACTGGGACAAAGCAAAGGAATTGGTCTGTATGGGAGATGCAACCTTAGATGGAGATGATCCAGAAAGTGGCCATGAAGATCCATTTCCGCGAGTGCTCCGGGTTGACTGTTGTTTCTGGGGAGTTGGAATCTGGGTCTGGTGTTGAACTGAAGATGCCTTTTTTTCTTGCTCTTTCAGGATGTCCCTTAAGGATGTAGGCTTATTAAGCTTCCCTGTGTCAGTAGACCAAGCTGGAGCTGGTGCAGGGTTTGTGGCCTCCCCTTTCCAAAAGACAAAATCTCCCAAAGAAGGGCCTATTGGTGGAGCAGGCAGTACATCCTTTTCCAGTTGTACCTGACGAGAATTTCTTGCTTTCTCAACAGGACTTGATGCAACAGAAACATCAGGGGAAGCAACAGTAGCCGAGGCCTTAACTCCTACACCCTTCCCCTTTCCAGACTTCTTGCGGTTCTTTTTAGTGTCCTTAGCTTCAATAAAGTCATTGTCATCTACTGAATCAACTTGAGTGGTAGTACCAGGTAGTGAAGGCAGATTAGAGAGATTATCAGACACCTCCATAGCTGTCTCATTAGATTTTGCCAAAACTTCTTCTGCCAACAGATCATGTAACTGGCTCTTCTTGCTCTTCAAATTTGTAGCACCTTCAGATCTCCCAGTAACAGGTTGTGCACTAGCAGCATCTTGATGGTTATCTTTAACAATTTTAGGCTCAGTATTGGTGACAACCCCAGCCCAAGCAGTTGAAGAACTCATGGAGATAACAGGTGTCACGATCTCAGAAGCAACTATTTCCATTTGTGCCTTCCGTTGCTCTTCCTGTTGAATCTCCAAGAGTGACTTTGGCTTTACACCAGGAGCAGGTTTCCATGTTCGATGACTTGAATTCATTTGTGTACTCTGCAAAGGCACAGGTTCAATGTTTCTTGATTCACACTTGCTTTCAACGGATTGAACTTCATTAGTAGAAATGCTTCTGGGTAATGAGCTTTTAACTTCCTGAGAACCCAATGTTTCTAGAGTAGGTGTCCCATTTCTAGCATCACCTGTTTTAGTTGAGGAAATTCCATTAAGTTTTTCTTGTGCATCCGTGTGCCCTTCAGATTTTGCGTCCATTGAGTGTTTTCCCTCATCTTCACATTGCTTCAACTGTGGTGAAAGAGATACCTTGGGTATTCCCTTTTGCTCCGATGAAGATTGTGCTTTTGCCGCCTTTTGTTTTCTAGACTTCTTTTCAGAATTTTTCTTTGTTTCACGTACTTCAGCACCTTTTACTTCTTTTATCTTAGGAGATTCATTTTCACCTTGTTCTTTCTGAGCCTGAGGTTCTTCAGGAAGATCCAACACCAGAACCTTCACATCATTGTTTTGTTCAGCCATGGATACTTCATCCTTGTCAGTGCATGAAGGTGGTACAACAGGATGAGTTCCTGGGCAAACTGCAGGTACAGAATTTGCATTGCTTTCAGTGCTAAGAATCGTGACAGGTTCATCAGTTCCATGCATATTCTGCAATGTCTGCTCTTGAGTCACATCAGCACAGATGTCTGAAATATCCCCATGCATAAGAGGAGGCTCCTTCAAAGGCTTTTCTATCATCTCCATTGAGGGGGAACCATCATCAATCATCCCTTGAACCACCTGAGAGTCAGTTTGTTGAATGTCATCAACCCGTTCTGGCAAAGTAGCACTCCAACCTTTGGGAGAGTTTGTACCATCAAAAATCTGGTGTCGCAAGAGTAGAGAAGATGCATCAGAACTGTTGTAACCAACATCTTGTGAAACTTGTGAAGGCAATGTTGCAAAGTTAGATGTCTGAACATCCTGTAAATTGGGAACAGGTATCTGTGGGTTAATCAGAAACATCTCATGCGGAGACCGAGGCCCACCATGATCAGCAGAAGCATTTCCTGCTGGCATTGCACCCACAGGTATATTTACAAAAGATGGATCCCCAAAGTGATGGCGAGACTGATGCTCAGACAGAACCTGAGAAAGCAAGTGTTGTTGCTGCCGCAAAAGCTGCTGCTGTTGTTCCTGTTTTTGTTGTTGCTTAAGTAACAAAAATTTCTCCAGCAGCGACAATTGTGTGGGAACAGGTGGCTGGGATTGTAACTGAAGTTGGGATAACAGGTACTGCTGTTGTAATATATTTAACATCTGCTGATCTTGAGGAAGTCCAGAAGAGAGTAATTTATCCGGGGTTATGATCCCAGAAGGATGATCTGCAGTTTGAACAATAATACTTGATAAAGATGGTTGACTCTGTTGCTGCAGTCTCTGCTGTTGAATCCCATATGCAGCTTGCTGAGGGAAATTCTGATTATGATGCAAATCCATCTTATCCTGACGCATCTCCAAACCACCTTGGACAGGAAAATTTGACCAACCAATAACTCCATTATTGACAGCAGAAGGTGACTTGTCAGACGAACCTTGTAGCACAGATAACAAGTCTACATTCTGAAGATGAGGAATTTTATGAGGGTTGTCAGCCATCGAAGGATGAAGCTTTGAATGTGGCAAAGGAGAATCAGGGATAACTTCTGCTTTTGGTAACATGGACGGTGCATCTCTCCCTGGCCAATATGTATGAGGATTGGATAGAGGCATTTGCCGATCCAATGGCGTTCTCTGGGCCAAAAGGTAATTTAGGTCACTTAAACCTTCAACTCCTGTAGGAGGCACACCACCAGAGTTATTTCCGATAAATCCCTGCATGCCTAAAAAACAAAACACCACCACTAAAGTAAGACACAGCTGCACAAAAACAAGTTTTATGAAGCAAAATCAATAATAAAAGCTGCTTGCATGCCACATCTTGTAACACCAGAGTTTTAGGCAAAAACGAACCTTCAGATAAAGAAAATTTCTCCAGTGGAGAACTGCTAACATTACCAGACATCAGTGACTCCAAAAACCTATTCTCAGCCTCAGTCATCGATTCCTGCCTGTTCCTTGGTTCATTCTTTGCAATATCAGTCTCACCCGAACCAGCATGAAGCTTTCCAAGGCTACTAAACTTTGGCCTATTTAATGTTTCTGAAATGTCATTCTGTTTTGGAGCACTAAAGCCTGGTGGAGGCCTTGCTTTTGCTCGTAAATGTGGCATGACATCCCCAAGCAATGAGAAAGGAGTGTCAGGTGAAGCATTTGCAAGGCGAACCTGCAAATCTATTCCAAAATATCCAGCTTCAAACCACCCAATAAGATCAAGACCAGAGAAAGGACCTTGAATTTCGCCTTGTGGATCTTTGTAGTACAGGGATAACTCCTCTGGGGGTGGCTGTGACAGCAATTTTCTAGCTTCCCGCTCTCTGTCCAGTACTTCAGAAGGTTGCCTTTTAATCATGGAATCCCGGCCAATATCCTTGTGAAAACTTTCACCAACTTGCCAGTGTGGTTCATCCTTATGGTAAGACAATGGATGTGCAGAATTATTCTCCCATTCAGTATCCCGATCCTTCTGTGGATGTGACCATCCCATGTCAGAGGATTTTGACCTAACCTCAGCTGGGAAATCTCTCCAACCATATGAGGGCATACGTGTGGATTCTCCCAGAGACTGAGATCTCCATGGGATGCCTGGGTTAACAAAAGAATTAGCCTGAACACTCCCCTCCCTGCCAACTCCAACCTCATCAACCTTCCTGTTGGGATCACCATCTTCCCTAAACACTGCACAAGGAACACCTAAAAGATATGTGAGAAAAATGGGCTCAGCAGGTAACTCTACTTACAAAAGGCATTTGTCATCATTGTATTTAAGAAACCAACAAAGTGCATAGCATATGAAGAATATGTGATTCCAATGCATATTGCTTGGATATCAAAATGGGGGTTATAAATACAGCACCTTCTACATTAAATCTGTTATCACGGTATGCATGAAGGTTCTGAGTTGTTTCTGACTTTGACTCAGACTCAAATTGATGCCTTAGCTTTTCATGTGAAGCACTCTCAGAATAATCCAAGTGCACACCTTTTGAGTTGTCAGTGCTGTCATCTTTACAATCATCATTCTCAGATGGTAAATCTTCTCTACTACCTGCTTAAAAAGTACACCAAATAAATCAATGTGAACAAAATTTCACAAACTACTACATAGAGATGCTTGTATGTGTTTCATGAATAAATGCATTACCAAACTTGGTTCGTCTTGATTGTACCAAGTCTGTTGAATTCCGTCCAACAGATCCATCTTTAGAAATTGAAGCAGTACCACTAGTTATTATATCCCCCTTATCAATTCCTTTCAAGATAGCCTATTCAAGAAGAAATGCAATTAAATCAACCACTAATAACTGTACAATCATTGCTAAAAAAGTTATAACCCAGATTACCAGTTCCTCTGAAGTAGGTGCAAAAAATGCCAGGGGCTCCAGTGGTTCTGCCTGTGTAAGAGAAGGTACTTCTATAAACCCATCTAATGGCTTTGTGTTTACATCAGTCATCCTGTATACATCTAGTAATTTGTCCTTGCTATATCGTAAAGGGGATAGCTCTCCATGGGCACTTTCACCCTTATCTGACACAAAACCCAAAGAATGAGAATAAGAAATACTGCTCACGGTACTTCCCACAGAGATGACCCTTCCACGTCCAACAGATGAGTTTGAAGGAGAATTTTCCCCTCGCCCCCTGCTGTAGCCAAAAGCAGGAAAAAGCTTGTTAGGTGTTAAAGTTTGGTGATAAGGCTCTCCTCTGCTTCTACTCTGGGAGGAGTTTGATCGCCATGGCCGATAATAATCCCCCTCCCGGTCCTCCTTTCCATGATTAGTCAGATGAGGCAATCCTTTATCACGAGACATCTCACCATCTCTGTTAGAATCTAGCCACTTCTCACGCCAACTGTCCGACTCCTTATCTTCAGGCCCCCAACGTGTGTTCCATTTGCTCTCTCGGCGTTGCTCATAATTACTTTCCCTGTTACTTGAATCAGTCCACCGTTCAGATGGGCCACGACGTGCTTCCCCGGAATGTCTATTAGAAGGGTTTTCCATCCACCTATCCATCTTGCGGGTATCACCAACGTCTTTCTCCCCCTCCCTCCAACGATCTCTGCGGATCAAGGAATTAGTATCTCGTTCCTCATCACGCCAGCGGTCACGACGACCAGATTCTGCATCAAGCAAGGATGGCCTGAAAACATCCCTTTTCTTTTCAACATCATGCATTTCCTCTCCATTTCCTGATGTTTTTGAGCCATCTGCACGACTGGTATAACCTGGAACTGAACTGACATGTGATTCCTGTATGGCAAACAAACAGAATACATCCTATGAAGCAGTATTAAGCAAAAAAGTAGTTACACAAACCACAGGTAAAGGAATGGTATGCATCTCAACATCTGAAAACAGATATAGCTACAACTTCTTCAAGCTAAAATCTATACATGTTGCGGATTTCAGAAGGCATCATAATTTATGGCAACCAGTTGAGTAACTTACCCCAGCTACTATTCCCGGCTTATTCTCCCCAGGCTTAGGCAAAAGCCACTGAGGTGAAAGAGGGATAGGGTTATCAGATGCTTGCACATCTGCAGAAACCAAGCAGAAGAATGAATACATTAAAGATATTAAAAAAAAAAAACATATGGTAAAAAGAAGCAAGGAAGCAACCAGTTGCCACAAGTATTTGAAATTTTCCCTTCCATTTGAAAAGGAGAAAGAGATGATACTGTATTTAAGAATGTCTTGGGACAGATGAATTAAAACAGAGAATATAAAAAAGGGGTGCATACTGATGAAATATAAATGTTATTCTTGGGTTACACAACCAGGGTATTTTGATAAATTTGTACAACATCACATAAATATAAACAGTAGAGAGGCACCCAACCCATTATTCTTTTTGCTCCCTCAAACGCTTCTTTCTCTTCTTTCTTTTCTTCTATTATCTTTTATTTTCTCATCAAATCTCGCATAACAGCACAAACAAGTAATAATAACATATATACTAGAAATCTAGAATACAAGTCATCTCATGAATCAGACATCAACAGTCTTCCCAAGGCATAATGTAGGTGACAAGTTGTTAAAGCTAGGCCCAAACATAAAAAAGAAAAGGTTTTTGGCTGGGGTGCTAATAAAACACAGGAAAACCGATATGTATATATATATGTGTGTGTGTGTGTGTGTATTATATAGTATATATAAACTATATCATTATATATTTAATAAATTATATCATTTATAGTATTTATAATATAATATACATATTACAATTTATTATATATTAGACATTATTTATAATATATTATATTATACATATTTATAGTACTTATACTATATATTTATACATGTATTTGAAGTGTATATTATCAATATGAGAAAACCAAAAGACCAAAGAACCAAACTGGTCAAAAACTGACCGATCAACCGATTGATTTAGTTCAGTTTTGGTTTGGCATATGGCAAAAACCTGTAGGATCGGTTCAGTTCAAAAATATGCCCACAGTTTGGTTAACCAAACCATGAGCACCCCTAGCTGGGGCAATGGCAAGGCCTAGATGGTGCAGCCAACATATCAGGTTTGGATTTGGGGAGTTAAGACACTTTAGCTTCCCTCCTTTGTAAACTTCTTCTTTAATGAAATTTACAGTTATTGATCAAAACATACATGTCAGGTTTGGATTGGATATTTGCCTAGATTTGCAAAGGTCATACAGTTCTTCCCTCCTTTGGTAATATCACGGATTCAGTAAAGCAATCATGTTTTTTATTGGTAACTTAAATGTGTGTGTATATATATATATATATGAAACCAATCTAATTAATATCTGAATGTGATCCCAATTATGCAATCCTATTTGTTGGCCTCAAATCAGATTTGAGATACTATGCACCATTAACAGAATGAAATAAAAATGAATTTCGGCAGATTTGATCCTATGACCCTTAGGTTTAAAATAAAATACAAAATCATTCCTTTCTTTTCTGAAAAAATAACATGATTACAAAGAAAATAATAGAATCTTGAACCTTTTAGTCATCAATACACATTACACAACCAACTTGCACGGTACTTAGATTCACATGGAATGATGAGAAAAGATTCTTTTTATTGGTTCTTCCTATTCAACTGGGAATACTGCCTTATACCCTTGCTTTTCTCCCTTTCCCATTTGGTCTAATGACGGAAGGTTTACTTCTCCTTGATGGAGGATGGAGCCAGACAACCATTGATGCTTGATGCATCTTGTTGCTTTTTTGGTTTCTTATCGGTCTACAAAAGAATGTTAACAGGTCTTGTAAACAACACTCTATTATATTTTTTTTCTGCTAAGATGTGAATAAGAATTTCCTTTTTTTCTATTTCTACCGTAACCAACATCTATTGAAGAATTAATTCCGCTTCTTCTATTTTTCTTCTTCATATACTTGTTAATACCTGTGGCTTACTGCTGAAGACATGAATATATTACATTGATAAATCAATTCTCACAACCATTTGAGAAGATTAGAAGAATAATTTCATCTAAAGCTCATCCATGCCGTTATCAAAGTGGGGGTACTCAAGCCTCAAGTGAACATTTTTATTCAAGCATAACTTATTTGGCTAAAACTCATGCATTTATATCCATCCATAGAGGCCCCCAAAAGTATCAGATACTTTCATATATTCCAATAGAAAAGTTTCACGTGTGCCAATAAACATTTCATTCAATGCACTGTTACAGAAGATATATTAAAAATCAACTATAGCAGTCACAACCATAAAACAACTTACAATATACAATCATATAGGTAACAACCATAGATGAAATGTTCTAATTCCAATAAGAGAACAAACCAATTGTCTTGGCCAAACTGTATAAAAGAGGAAGAAAAAGAACTCATATTTAGCACATGCCTCGCTTCCAAAAACCAACATTCCAATCTAAAAAACATCTGGTAGGTATATTTAAAGTTCCACCTATACCATATATCTTCATTAGATGCACTGCCACCGAATGACAGCAATATTGGAAATCAACTCAAGCAGTCAGAAAATAACTGTGGATGCAAAGTTTTAACTCCAGAAGGAGATCAAATCCATTATCCTGTCTGATTTGAAGAAGAAGAAGAAGAAGAAGAAGAAGAAGAAGAAAAAGAAATCATGTGAAGCTCACGCTTTACTTAAAAAGATCATCATTTCCATCTAAAAGCATTACCTGCCAGAGATAATTTAAAATTTTTGTTGACTTTGATCAAACTAGGATAAAGACCCTAGGATACCAATTTGAGAAGCAAAAATAGCAATGCAGGATGGTATATCAATCGATGAATTGGGTAGAGGTCATTCAACCGAACTTGTATCACCCACACAATTGAATTGGGAAAAAAAGTCATTCCAAGCGCTGGCAAGGTTGACCACTAAAACCAAGATTTCTTCTTTTGTTTTGTATTGATAAATGTTGAAAACCAATGTTTCATTTGACCCCTTTCTTTACTGATGAAAACATTCCGCCCATTGGTTAACTACCACAGCTTATCCCAACTTGCTCATGGCTTGAGATAGGACACTAGCTGCATGATTCCGTGGTTGTAGTTTTAATGGAGGAGAAGGAATTATTACCCTCAGTATGGCATCTCAGTCAAAGTATAGAGGCCATTCAACCGAATTTGCACCATACCATCAACTTAGTTGAACTGAGGAAAAACTGGTTCCTGTTCTGATTCCACGTAAACACCATTTAGGCAATTTGACTTTAATGTACAAAAATTATGGTTGATTGGGCATATTTTATTTGAAAGAGTAACACCATATTTTGCATTGTGTTATATGCACAAGGTGTTGAGGGAACATCAAAACATGGTTAGCAATTTTGACGTCAATGAACATTTTGCCATGTAGAGATGGAGAAATTTCAGAGTTCACTAATTTTTCTGACATATTTACAAAATCTAAAAAATCAAGAAAGATTTCCAGAAACATGGAAATAATTATTAAACCTTCAAGGAATCATTATAATTGCAAATTTAAGGCTCAAAAAACCAATAACAAATAACTGTATAAATCAAATAGGAGAAAGTTGAGACTTGAATATGTTAATTACTTGCCATTTTAACTTTTTCCCTTCTTTAGTTGCTATATGTTTTGATTAATTTGAAAATACTCTTTTGTAGTCATATGCATTTTACTTTCTCTTTTGAATTATAGTGACTTAATAAGTGAATAATATCAAAGTGGTAAGCAAATTATCCAATCACCAATTCCCCGTGGTTCTTTTTAGGAAAATGTTTTTTAAAATTATAATTATTTTAACAAAATGTCAAAAAGTTTATATAGTCTATTAATGGAATCTGAAATATCAGCAACTCCCCATAGCTCTCTTAGGAAAATATTTTAATCGTTTTTAATAATATTCTAAAACTTTAAACCTTAAATATATAGTCTATCAATAAAATCATTGGCATATTGGCAAAATACCAGAGATGTTTGCAGGGAAAAGAAAAGATTCACAAAAATAAAAATTAATATTGTCACTTAGCAAAATGGGGATATTTCACCAATATCGCCAATATTGCAAACCATACATCAAAAAGACATTTGTTGTATTTGGCACTTAATGATGCCTACATGTTTGAAACGATAACAAACTACTGTGCAGTTTGTTTTGTGCAAAAGCATATCATTTCTTAATTCCCAATGTCATGATTTAAGTTGAAGCATTGCAACACCACAACACCAAACACCATGAAACATATCATTCTGGTTAAGGGTAAAAGCATTTTGAACCTGAGATAACTGCCATAACTTATCACAACTTTGCTCATGACTCGTGAGCTAGGGTACTAGGTAACAGATTTCTTGGTTGTACTTTCAACTAAGGAAAAGGATTGAGTGCCCAATAATAGGCTCCAGAAAACCTAAGTCTGACCAAACTCAATAATAGCAGATGCCTCACAGGCAGTTCATAACAACGAAATGCCCGTCATCGAGCTGGCAAGAAGCCTGATACACAAAAAAAAAAAAAGCATGCGTTTCTGCGCATAAATTTGGAAAGAGTACATTGCTTCCATATGCAGTCAGTTTCGCACTTTTTACATCAACAGGTAAAACAGAAAACTGCCCCGGCATCTAAACATTTTAGATGATAGCAATACATCTGATTAAGTGTAACCTTGGTAAAATTGAAATGAGAGCACAACATCTTGAGGCCCAACGGAAGATAATAAACCATGACGACAGGCTAAACTAAAGCAAGCATGAGATAGCGACTTCCGTTGAACAAAAATAGCATTATCCAACACAAGAAAAAATAACCAAAACCTCTAAAAATGGAAAAGGCAGGAAATGGAAAAAAAATAAACAAAAATAAGTGCGGCATGAAGGAAAAGAAACAACAATGATAGAATATTTAGTTAGAAACTTATAATACGAATACTAAATAGAGAAACCTCAAAGAAACAGACAAACTAAACTAGTTAGAACCCTGGAAATGCCATCAGGCTATAATCTAGGTCTTAACAGAACGAAATTAGTAGTTGAAAAAAATCTGTTTGCGCAACTAGGGTTTTAATGCGAATCCAGAGATATATAAAGAAAATACAAAAATCAGATGAAAAATCTTAGCTCCAAAAGAAACGGTCACAGACAGAAAATAAAGAGTAGAGGAAAAAAAAAAAAAGGTGTGTAGGAAAAGATAACGAATTTGAAGACAGGGCACCTTTCGGGATCTGCTGAGGAGTGTTGACAGAGAGATGATTGCGAACATCAGCATTGTTTCTATCCGCCATGATCGATGAACGAGAGTTCGGAAGCTCGGAGACGCCAACGAAGGAAAAATAAATAAACCCTTTTTTTCTCTTGACTGCTTTGTTCGGAGGCACGAGAGAGAGAGAGAGAGAGAGAGAGAGATGGAGGAGAGAACACGACGAGGAGGGTTGGGGAATATAGGTTTGGGGGCAAAGCAAACATAAAAAAGCGGATAGATTGAAAATATATCACCAATCGGCTTACGTTAGCAAACAGACGAAGTTGTTTGACCAAAAACACTGCTACACCGGGTAATGGATTGACTCTCCGATTTTCGCCTCTTTTTCATTCATTTATATTTCTCGCGAGTGCGCAATACGCCCAAACGGCGCATGTTAAGGTGACTAAAATGCGGCTTCTGAACTCGGCGACTTGTAAGTTGTAAATTGTAACCCTAACTTCTCCTAGGGTATCTACCCAAAACAAACCTCCTGTCCTGTTAAGGAGTTTTCACTTCTCGCACGTAAAGAGTTGAGTTACTCATCTTTATCTACTATATACAAGAATCACCAACATGCCCCCCTCTGACAGTGCCTTCTCTTTCTCTTTCTCTCTCTTGATCAGCGAATGCTTGCTCTCTTTCTTACGGTCGAAGTTACGTAGTGGTGCAAATGGATCGGATCACCCTTTTTGATCTTTATCCGACCAGACATCGGGTCGGATTCGGATCACCCCTATCCCATCCGATATATATATATATTGTTTGTTTATTTATAAATATATATTTTATATTATATTATTTTTTATAAAAAATACGTACGTACATATATGATGAAAACAATTAAAAAAATTGTATCTTTTGTTTTTAATGATTTATTAATAAATTATTAATTTATAAGTTAGTATAATTTATTAATTATTTAATAATAATTTATAAATTAGTATATTTAATACTTTAATAATAAATTATTAATAATTTATTTTTTATTATTTATAATTTAATATATTTTATTTTTCTTTTTAATAATTTATTAATTTTTTAATAAAATAAATCAGATTGTTTCAGATCCGAAGATCCGACTTATCGATATGATTAGAATTCAAATCGAGTCGTATCATATCCGATCAGATCCGACATGAACATTGTCATATCGAATTCAAATATATCCTCATTCGAACCCGATCCGATTCATTTGCATCCCTAATGTTACATTGATGTGGTATATTATGATCAATCCATTATTAGTAAGAATGGTATATTTGTGAAGGATAAGAGGCTCTTGAAGCTGGAGGGTCACTTCGCCCAAATGCCTAAATATTTATCTATAGGACACCATATAATATTTGTAGTTTTTTACTTTATGTTATTAATATTAATATAATAAATTTTATTAGACTAATTATCCATATTATATGTATATAGCTGGTATCAGTATTATTATTCATATGATAGTTTCTTTTTATTGTTTTTTTATTTGTTTGGATTCAAATGACACAAAAATAATCAGTAACACCACTTTTTCTTCTTTTTGGTCTTATTTCTTCTACGACCAAATATCCTATGTCTTGTATATTTTTCTTTCATTTTTTGGGGGCGTTCTTCTTTTGGATTTTGAGAGGGGGGAATGTTGGTCGATGGGATTTTGGTTTCCACATGTTATTTATTCATATTTATGTGGTGACCAGGGAAAGTTTATTTTCCTGTGTATCACTTACCCAGATAAGTGACACTCATCTCTGGCAAATAATTTTCCCACCTAGGGGGGAAATTGCCAACATCAATTTTACAATTGATGTTTATGGTTAAAATGGCCATTGCCCTGTTTATGTAAGGAATAAAAGAACATAGATAAATGCAGTTACCCAAGTAAGTGCTTCTTAGGAAAAACTTACCCAAATAACTGAATTTACCCGGATAAGTAACTTACCATAAAGAAAACAGGGCCTTTATTTTTTTTTCTCACAAATATGTATATTTCCTATCTTTTGACATGGGGTTTATACTTATTTGATGAATAATATAATAATCAATAGTTAAATTTATTGTTTATTGATATAGATCCCAAGAAACCATCCTATGCTTTATATATATATATATATATATATATATATATTTTAAAAAACTATCCTAAGTTTCATATCTAATCGCCTAGGTTCTCCCCTTGAAAACTATGACTAGTATAATATTTGTACTTGAAAAAAAGAATGGATACTAATTGAGATGTATGATAGTTCATTGTGAATTTAAACAAATAGGCACCAAGGCTCGGTTTGGGAAGATTACAAATCAAAAATATGTACAATGAAAATAAAGAGGTTTTGGAGTCACCAATAAGTGCCCTAAAGTGGAAGTTCCCTATTATTTGATAAAACTGTCTTCTTGAAATTTCCCCAATACCCATAGTCTTGTCTAGTTGGAATATCGAAGATATGTGTTGTTATGTCTATGTCATTGAGACTCTACCAAAGCTTAAAACTTTGCTTCTTAATGTATGGAACGTTAATTTGATGTTTGTCCAAGCTGGCCCCATTGGACTTCAATTGAATACCATTTTTATCAATGTTCTAGTTCAAAAACAGCATTAACCAAACAACATTTTCTACCATTGACATCACAATGACTCGTGGCATTACATGTCACAATTCCAACTTGAAATGGTGATAGTATAAAATGCTATGTAATCATTATTTTTACCTTGTAGACATGTATTGAGAAAGAAGAAAAAAATAGGTATTTTGTATAACACAATCTGTTCATGTGTTTACTCCTAAATGAATCATGTTTTCTTAAGGCACTGGATGCAACTGCTTTTAATGTTAATCTTAAAAGGATTTTGTGGATGATTTGGACTTCGTTGATCCATTTAAGTGTTTAGACTTATATTCAAGTGATGATATAAAGAGAAAATGGAGTTGCACTATGACTTCTCAAAGGGCTATGAAACAATGACCCATTTTTCAATGGGGCCCGTTCCAACGTCTCAACTCAAAACTACATTTGAAATGGTCAATGGAAAGGATTCAATAAACAATAAACTCTCTCTACTATTATGCATATTTGATGGTTAGACATAATCAACATTTTTTTTTTTAGTTTAAACTTTTATTTATTTTTTATTTTTTTGTATTTTTGGTTCTCTTTGAACAAAATGAAAAACAATAAATGGTAGAAGAGTCTTCCGCCAAACTTAACGTTGTCTAAATCCAATAAAGTCAATTTTTAAATTATCTCTGTCCCATTTTATACGAGCCCACAACAAAGTAGTAATGATTACTATAACCATTTACTTTGCATACCCAAAGGTAGTAAGGCAAGTCTTAAGAATACCCATCTGTTGGACATTCAAAAATGTACTAGAATTTTATCAGTATAAAAAAATATGAAGACGATTAACATGAGGGAATCTTGTTCCTATTGCTATAAACTGAATCTTGTTCCTATATCAACAATGAACATGTACATACAATAATCATAGTTATTATACTTACTAATGTGAGGGTAAATGTGTAAATAAAAAATAAAGATATAAGTTTAACACTGTATAATCAAATTTAATTTTTATTACTTATACCAAAACTAATGCATGAATATGCTTTATATAGCATATATTTTACAAGAAAAATATGTATTAAATATTATAGGGGGAACATGGTTATGTTTTAAAAAATAAAAGCAATTTCCACAATAGTAAATACAATATGATTTTGTTGGCATGGCATTTATTTTTATTTCAAAAAACAAACTGAATCATGTTATCCAACATCCCCATGGTATACTTGGGATTAAATGTATTATAATATATACTAATACGATGCTAATATGTAGAAGAAAATGAAAACACATGAAACTAAACTTACATTGGACCCAAATGCCCACCGATTTATAAAAGTCCAATAATTCATATGTATGTATGCAACATTTCATAAAACATTCAAATTAAAATGTATGTAAATATATTATTTATTGGGGATGCACATCTAGAGAGATAATAGATTAAGGGTATGTTGGTTTAATTTGCAGGAATATGGCTCTGGAATTGGAATAAGAATGATTCACCTCAATTCTAACTATTTGATTAGATGGAATTGGAATCCCATTCCCATTCTTGGTGGAATGGCATTCCCTCGTTCGAGGGAAGACTCATTCCTTCTCTATTCATCTCCATCTATTAGAAATGGGAATTTATTCAAGACAATATTGATTTTGATCCAGTTTCAGTTTGAACCAAAACAGGTAGGATGTAATTGGATCAGATTCAACAAAAACCAATTCCGTTTTGATGATTGAAAATCTACACTCGAATCCGATCAGATTTGAAGACCTTGGATTTGAATTCGAATCCGATCAGACTCATGTTGGATACAGATTTAATTCATCTCCACGTTGATCTTTTAAAATACAAAAAACAAGCTAATTACTTTTTAACTTTTATATATAATGAACTAATATAAATATAACATACTGAATTTATTATATTTAAATTTATAATATATATATGTATAATATTGAGTATAATTATATCAAATTCATATATTAAAACCAAGAAATATGATAATATAATCAGACCGTAAGAAGTCAAATAAACATATCATTTGAACATGGATTCCAAAAATCGGTGTGGATTCCAAAAATCAGGTCCAACCCGACCACCTAAACATATCATTTGAACATGGGATAATCGAATAAAATGTTGGATCAAGCCTTGGATTTTCTGGTATCATTACCAGGCCTACAAACAGGTGAGGGGTATAAACATTATGATTATAATTCTTATCCTTAACCAAATGGACTCTAAATGAAATGTTCTAAAAATACCATATATACATGCATACACACGCACACACATACTTTCATTGAAATGACCCAGCCTTCCTTTCTAAGTGATGAATCAATTGGTCTGACTGTTTGAGTCAACAACAGTTTAAAAACATTGACATGTGATATTCAGTTTATAAATAAAACATCATGTTTTGACTTTAGAAAGCCACTATTTCATGACATGTTTGAAATTCAAGGTTTGGCTATCGAGTTTGTGTTGATTTATGTGTTTGACAACGATATCAATAAAGACGCTCAAAATTATAATAGTCCAATGGCTTATCTAATGCATGCAAAGTGAAAAAGAAGGCATTTTTTAGTTTGGTAAATATTAGGCATTTTTTATTTTTCTTGGCTCATTGGACTCGTTAGTAAAAGACTACCAACAAGGCGACAAGCTAGTTAGCGCCCTTTAGGTACATGAGATTATAAATAAAGATACAATCCCAACTAATTAATGAGTTGATGACTAGATGACTAGATGGGATGTTGGCTAATGCATTATTTATTTATTTTTTTCTCTAAAAGTATCCATTTTACCCGTATGCCTATCAATTCATATGAAGATTTATTAAAATACCCTAATGGAACTTTTAACTTTTAGCTAACAAGGTTAAATTGAAAAGAGTAAAGTAGTCTTACTATGTAAATTCATCAGCTAGAGTGAAGTCAAGACGGGTAAATCTAACATTTTGAATTACACAAAAATATGCCATAACATGCCCTAATAATAGATTTGGTTATGTTGGGTCGGGTTTTGCCTATTTATAAAAAAAATAAAGTCCAAGTCCAAGCCCAACCCGACCATCAAGCCTTTTTCTTAAGTCCATGCTTGACCAAATAAAGCTTGAATCTTGAGCTTGAGCTTGAAACCCAATTTTTACATTAAAAGCCCTATTTACAATGTAATTTAATAAATTAGTATTATGTTATTTTGATAATAATTTAATAAATTGATAAACTAATTTCCATTTTCTGAATTATAATTTAGTATTTATTAATAATTTAATAAACTAATATATTATATGTTTTTTATTATATTTAATAGCATAGAGCCGGGCTTATTTGAGAAAGACTGAACTTGTGGGCCTGAAGTTTTGTCCAATCTTGAAAAATAATGAACTAGATTAGGCTAGCCATAGAGCTACCCGACCCATGAATTGGTCTACCTACAATTAGTAAAGGTAATTTAAGGGGAGGTAACTGCAGGATTTTTCAAAATTACAGGAGAGGCTTTTATTAAAGTGAAATCTTAGGGGAGATTTTGATGTTATCATAAGCCTTAGGGATGTCTTATGATTATTAGAAGCCTTATAGGAGATTTTTATATTTTACCTTTAATCGGAAGGGTGGGTAGGGAAATTAACCAGGTTACCAGGGAGAATTTTAATAACATCTTTAATAAGTGGAGCGTTGTAGTAATTGTGCAAGGGAGTTTCGCATCTGATTATGAATTCTGATCGGTTCGTATAACTCTCAATTTCGATGTTCTAGGTCAAGATCAGACGTTGCATATGTGAGAATCCAGGAATTCCAGAGTATTATCCTGGATGATCAGCGTAAGGAAATAGAAATGAACACATATTTCTCTTGTTTTTAGGCGAAATTGAGAGAGAGAGAGAGAGAGGGAGAGAGAGGTGCGCTGCGCGAAACTGCGAGTAGATGGATGAAAAAGGTTGTAGCTGAAGAAATGGGGTGTTTCTTTAAGGAAGAAGATCGTAATTCCCCTTGAAGTAATGGAGGAGAAAATTCGCGAGGGAGGAGCACCAGCAACAAATGCATCCACCACCACCTCCAGCATCACGGCATCAACTAAAACACCAGAAGTGGTGGCCGTAGAACAAGCCCCTAGAAGAAGGGCAGGTGCCCCTAAAAGAAAAGCCAACAGCCTCAACACATCCGGCCTCTCATCTACGCCTTCGAAGCGTTTAGCCAAGGAGAAACTCTTCGTTCCCCTTCCTCCAATCCACAACGGCCCCTGCACACGTGCGCGGCAAACTCCAAACAAGCTCGCCGCCGCCGCCGCCGCCGCCGCCGCTTCTGCTGCAACTACTGCCATTCCAGAGAAACTCACAGAGGATGTACCACTTGCCCCATCGTCTGCAGCTGGAGAAGTAGTTGCTCCTGCAGAAGAATCGAATGCGCCCAACGAATCCTGGCAGGCGTTAGAGCCGCTCCTCGATGCCGAGTTGGAAGCTGTCAAATCCCGCGATGCTAATGCTCATGTCATTCCCACGCATGCGGGTGAGTTGCAAAGCCTTAGATCAAGCCATTCCCCTCTCATTAACTCGATCGGTAAAACAAGTTCTGAAATTTAGGTTTTCGTTTCGAGAACCCGGAAACCATCTCAAATCCAGCTTTTCTAACATTGATTTTAGTTGAAAGTATATTTTTGCTTTATGGTTAGAGTCATAAAGCAGCTTATTTTCGTTGTTATTAATTATTCTTTTCTCTTCATTCATAGCTTGGTTTTCATGGAACAAAATTCATCCTCTTGAGGAGCGTGCCATGGCTTCTTTCTTCAATGGGAAGTCTGAGAAGCGGACACCTGATATATACATGGAAATACGAAATTGGATAATGAAGAAATTTCACACAGACCCGAAGACACATGTTGAATTGAAAGATCTATCGGACCTTTCTGTGGGAGAGTTGGATGCAAGGCAAGAAGTCCTGGAATTCTTGGATCATTGGGGCTTGATTAATTTTCATCCATTCCCGCCAACAGATTCTGTTATGGCCAATGCCGAGGCAGATGGAGCTGTGAAGACAGCTTCTTTGATTGAGAAACTGTATCGGTTTGAAACAGTTCAGTTCTGTCCACCAGTCGGTCCTAGGACAGATTTGTCCACACCATCCATGCCACCTCGGTTCTTTCCAGAGTCTGCCATTGCTGATGACCTAGTGACGCCAGAGGGGCCTGCAGTAGAGTACCATTGCAACTCTTGCTCGGCTGATTGCTCTCGCAAGCGTTACCATTGCCAAAAGCAGGTTGGCTTATTTCCTGATAATTGATGTTTCTGTACTCGAAATGCAAATTATAGATATAAAATAACCTTAAATTGGATAAAAGAAATACCACCATTGTGTTAGCTGGAGATATTTACCAAAAAAGTCATCAGGAGATATGAATATAGTAATGAACACCACGTACACAAGGTGCACATAAGATATATAAACCAAAGTTTCTGGTATTTATATGCTCTAATTGCTTGGCCCTGCTCTTATGGATGGACTCCTAAAATTCCAAGAATGATAATTCCTATTAGTTACGGACCTTATGTCTGATTGTGTAGTTTTTTCATTGCTGCTTTATTCTCTGCATTTTTTAATGCTTGGATAGTGGACTAATATATTAACAGTTCTTTTCCTTTGTTTTTTTGTTATATATATATATATATATTTTTGTCAGCATATTAGGCTTCTATATGCACCGTATTGCAAGTGGTGTCCCTAGAGGCTAGAACAGCATCTTGTCAATTCTGGAGCCTTGTAGCTTTCTAATGATGGAGGATGGGTTGACCTCATTCCATTGTGGTTTTTAAGTCTCTTTTTTTCCAAAAAAATTGTAGTTTTAAAACCATAGCCTCATATGCACTCTAAATCTCTCTCTTAATAAGCTTGTTTTGTGTGTTTAATACAGAATGGTTTTGGTTTAATAAGAAGACACTTTGATGTGGGAAAAAAAGGAATGTTGAAATATATGAATGGATTATTCCATGGAGTTCTCAAGATATATCCCTTTAAATCCAAGTTTGCCAAGATTCTAGAAATTAAAATCATAGAACTGTCTTGGGACATTCAAAAGTCAACAGTCCAAGGCTTGGCCTTGAGGCAAGTTTTAGTCATAGTTTTCAAGATGCTGAGGCAAGGCTAGGCGATGGGAGGCACCTTGTCGGGATTTTTCTTTTTGGAATAAAAATCATGAATTTTATAGTAACTCCCTAGGTTCCATAGCAAGCAGCAACCATCTTTCATTATTAATTGTCTATAATATTTATGACAACGTATAAACTTCATTTAAAACATATGAAATCAACATATTCATGAAAAAATGGAAGAATGAAAAGAAATTTCAAAAAATAGATGGCTTGAGCCTCTATTTTTGTCCTAGGAATAGAAGAAGAAGAAAATCAATATGTGTTGATTGGAAAAAAAATTGAGTTCTTCCATGTTTATTGGTTCAGGTTTTGAAGTCTATAAAGGTTCAAGATAGTATACATCTTCACATCTTCATTGAACCCTAACAAATAAGAAAAATAATAAAAAGAACTTAATATTTTAACTCAAACTGAATAATTTATTTTAATAATGTCTGCTTTATTATTATAATCCCAAAAAATTAAGAATAGAAGAGTATCCAACAGCACTGTGTAAAAAATATCTTGGCGATTAAGTGAGGTGACCCTCCATGAGTACCTTATTGTCTAGGCATCACTTTACATGTTAAGCTGCCTTCGCATTACCTGATTGTCATAGCTAGGTAGTATATCCTAGAAGTAGTCTCTATTTTATATGACAGTGGATTGTTCTTGTATCATTTGGTATAGCAATAGCAGTCATGCCTTTGCTGGGTTATTTTGTTTTTCATTTGATTGATAGCAGCATATTTGCATTTTATTGGATGGTTGCAAGAAATTATTGTGACTATGTGAGCTCATGAAAACCATATCACCCAGGCATGCACTTACTGGGTTATTTGGTTTATTGACTTTATTCTTTGACCTATATTATGTCTGGGTTTTTTTAGAGGCCACAAGAAAGTGTTGTGGTTTTGTGAACTTGTCGCTCCACATGTTAGGTTGCCTTTGTATTTCTTGATATTCCTAGTAAGGTACTGGATCCTAGAGGTAGTCTTCATTTTATCATATGATAGCGGTTACTTCATGTATCATTTGATACAATTCTAGCCATCCCTAGGCCCTTTTTCCCCTAGTCTTTCTTTTATTTCTAACTTCTATGTTCCATTTTCTGTATCTGGTATATAATCAATTTGGTGTATCCAACATATACTGCTATCTAGAACCAATATTGCATCTGTCCAGGTTTTGTTTTTGTCATCACTCACCAATGTTTTAAATGTAGAGGTGCCAAGGCATGAGGCAATGCACTGGGATCTTCTAATGCATGAGATGTAAGCATCATTAGATCTTATGATTTGAAGAAAAATGAGCTAAAATGAGAAAGTAGAAGTTTGTAGAAAAAATGATTTTAATTTTGTATAAGAATGTATAGATGAATAAAGTTGTTGTTGTTTGGTCTAATGGTAAAATATCAGGCTGACAAGTGTGAGAATGTGGGTTCAAGTTTGATAACAGCCACTTTGTATAAAAAATGGCAAGGGTTAGGTTTGTATCCAGTCTACCCCTTCGAAGATCCTAGATAGTTGGGACCAACATTGATTAATGGCCTTCTTTATGTATAGGTGAATAATCACATGAACAAGGAATAAAAAATGGTAAAAGTTTTCTTACAAATCCTTTTGAAAAGTTAGAAGACTTCTAATACAGATTTCTTTTTCATTGTTAACAAGATCAAAACATCTTATTAAAGAGAGGAGTTGTAAATACAAAAGATCTTCCACCATTAGACATAAGAGGAAGACCAAAAAAACAGAAATTACAACCACAGGCTGACCAAGTAAAAAACATTTTTTTTTTTATGACTAAGTTGACTCCAAATCCCACTACAGAGTATATCTTCCAACTCCCTTAGCAAGGGCATTTCAGTAATGAATTCACTGATCTAGGAATCCATGAACAAGCTGTTTTTTCTTTCGTTTTTTTGATCAACCTTGAACAAGCTGTTCACTCTAGCAGCCAATGTTATTACCTTCCTTACATGGTTTCAGAGTGCCCAAGCCATTTGCAAGTGATCTTATTCACATTATAAGCACTGCGAGGTCTCCTACTAGTTCTCAAACTTTATAACAAGAATAAAACCTCTGCCTCTATGGCACTTGCCTCTCCAATATTGCTAGAATAAATGCAATTGCATCTCCCTGATGGTTCCTGAAAGCTCCATTAGTGCTTGATGGTTCATGGTTACCAAAATAGTAGCCATCCAAATTGGATTGTTGCAGTTCCAATTCGTGCCCCAAGAAGCACCATATCATTTTAAAAGGAGAAGACAAGTGGGCCTGCATTTGAACTCATTAATGGCCTTCAAATATCAAGCTAGTTTGTTAGTGGACTTCTAACAACTAATTTGTTAGTGAGTTTCCAACAACTAGTTTCATTAAATGCTCCAATTGCTAGTTTTTTCATTTAATGCTTTGCTCCAACAACTAGTTTTTGTTCTCTACATAAAGCTTTTTAATATCAAGTTAGAGGCAATCAAGTTTTTCCCTTTGTTTTGAGAAGCCTAGAGTTTTCTTTTGAGAGTTGAGAGAGTCCTCTCTTGGGTAAGTGTAGTGCTTTAAAAGCGCAAGGTGAGGCACGTGCCTTTTTTAAGCAAGGCGCAAAAATAAAAAAATGCTAAAAAATAAAAAAAACCAAAAAAATTCAAAACAATGCAAAAAAATAAGCTTTAAATTTTCAAGCATGTAAAGCTTTAATAAAAAAATATAAGCTTTAAATTTTAAAATAAATGTTTTAAAAAACCTATTATCTAAAATTAAAATACATAAACATAACATGTAAAGCACATTCAAATGTGAATTTAAAAATAAAATCAAACATATAAAACATTTTCAAGCATGTAAAGCCCACAATCTCTATTTTTCCTCAATTGCATTACTTAAAGTAGCTAATGTGATGTAAAACATATTACATTCCTGATTCTACAAGCTGCTTTTGTGCCATGCCCCCCGAGGCAAGCTCAAACAAGTCCATGTTAGGGTCCTAAATTCTTATTTCTCACACAAAAAATAATGACTTTATAATTTTAATTTCTTTTTAAGAAATATTTTAGTAGGATGAATGAATGAACAACATTACCAAAAAAGTGTCAAACTTTCAAAAGGCGCATGCCTGGGCTAAGGCGCAAGGCGCATCAGGCGTGTGCCTTTTGAAAGGGCTGTGCCTAGGACTTGGGCGAGGCGCCTACCCTAAAATGTGCCTCGCCTGTGCGCCTAGGCGCACCTTTTAAATCACTGGGTGAGTGAGTCCCCAACCTTGTTGCCTCATTGTAGTCCATCTCATATTAGTGAAATTCCATCCAATTTTCTTATTTTTTTTCTATTTCTTTTGAGCAAATTTCTTATTCTTTCTTCATACTTGAGCTGCATCAATTGGTATTAGAGCGAGTCGAGTTAGAGCTTGTAATTTCATTGCTCTACTCTCTTTCCTCATCCAAAAATAGTGTTCAGTTATAGAAAATAGGTCAAACGACACCCCAATTTTGGCAGTGGATTTTTTAATAAATTGGATTGTGCCATATATCATTAGAAAGCTCTTTGAGTCTATTTTCTAATGCAACAAACGGTTAGTCAACTGGAGTTCTCTACTTAAAGTTATGAACAAAAGAAAATCGATGAAGCTGATTGCACATCCAAGTCTTCCAAAGAAGTGAGATACCATGCCAAGATGCTGACCTAAGAATCAACACAGTGCTCTAGTTCAAAATTCTCATCTTTGTAAAGAAATGAATGATCTCAAGAATGGTTACAAAAACCTATAATGCATGATGAAGGAGATGTTACGAATGCTTCCCAAATAAGTTCCTAAGAATAACTATATTTCTCCAACCTTGTCTATGGGGAAAGCTTTGGAAGATTGCAATGACAATCTTATGTGGCCTTTTTCATTAACAATGTCAAATGCAGAAGAGTACATTGACTGGGATAGTTCTCCAAAGTTTGATGAAGAATTTATTACTTATGTGGAATCTTTTATTATTTGTAATCAATTTCAAAGTGATGGAGATAACATTGACTGGGATTGTCCTCTAAAGTTTGATGAAGAGTCTATTAGCTATGAGGAATCTTCTATTGTTCATGATCAATTTCAAAGTGATGGAGATAATACTCATCAAGTAGGAGATTTTGACTATATCTTTTTCATGCAATTGTATGAGGACCCTTATTGGCAGCCATTTTCTCAAAGGTTAAAATTGGTTGTTGAAGGAAGAATTGGGTTATTTAAAGTACAAGAAACATGCATCAATAGTTAGGAGACATGATGGAGTAATTCCAATCCATATCGGAGGTTTACACCATCAATTGCCTGTCAAAGGATCAGTAACAAAGAAATGTAGTGAAGGCATGATAGTAAATCATTTTTTTGAAGTTGTTAAAACTCGAGGACGAGTTCTTTTCAAGAGGGGGAGATTGATACAGTCCAAGTTCAAGCCTAAGAAGCACCATATCGTTTTAAAAGGAGAAGACAAGTGGGCTTACATTTGAACTCATAAATGGGTTTCCAATATCCAACTAGTTTGTTAGTCTACTTCTAACAACTAGTTTGTTAGTGGGTTTCTAATGACTAGCTTTATGAAATGCTCCAACAACTGGTTTTTGTTTTTTATATGAAACCTTGTAGTCTCAAGCTAGAGGCAATCAAGTTCTTCCCTTTGTTTTGAGAAGCCTAGATTTTTTTTTTTTTGAGAGTTGTGAGAGTCCTCTCTTGGGTGAGTGAGTCCCCAACCTTGTTGTCTCATTGTACTCCATCCTCATATTAGTGAAGTTCCATCTAATTTCCTTCTTTTTTCTATTTCTCTTGAGCAAATTTCTTCTTCTTCTTTCTTCATACTTGAGCTACATCAGGTTTTAGTTGGCCATATAGTGGAGAGGTCCACTCCCCATGAATGTGGTGCTTTGCCTGAACAAAAGTTTCTACTTCATGCCATAGTCTAAGCATTGAATCAATGGGAATCCCCCAAATTCTTTCTTTTGGAGAAAAGGTAATGAAGTCAAAAAACTGAAATCGTAGCAGAGATACAAAAGAATCCCCTGATCTCGTATACAGCGAGGAACTGCATAATCAAAGTAAAAGACTTTCCAAGTATACAAAAAATAATCTTTAAGAGTCAACTTTCAGATCATTTGTGTATCAACAGAAAAGCAATTTTGGAAAGATATGCCCCTGGGCCTGGGTTACTTGACAACCAACAACCAAGAGAAAAAACAGTTGCAACAATCATTCTTATCCCTTCATCTTTCTCAAGGAACCATTCTACTAAAAGCTTAACCTATCAGGTGAAGTCCCTGAATAGGTTTTTATTCTCTAACAGGCCCTTCACGCGAAAGCCCATTGGGCTTGAAGCATGGGCAAGCACAAGCCCATCCATACCTTGTGCTGAAATTTAATTAATTATAATGAGGACAATGAGGATCGAACACTAGACCACTCCAAGTAATCTTGCCCCTCCTGTTTAGTCCTGCAATGGAACTTGACAGATCTAGGAACACCCAGCTGATTTTTAAAGACTTCAAAAAGAAAGACGAGTTCTTAACGCTGCTAAGGTTATAATTTAAAAAAGATGGTCCATCAACTCCAAGCTGTGGTTACAGAAACCAACATGTGGAATTTCTGACCTTCTCTTGAGTACCTTAGGCAAGAACTTCTCTAATACAGCAGTTCAGGCCATAAAAGAGACCCTAGAGGACACCAGTGTCCCAAATTGCACGGAAAATGGTTGCCTTCAATAGTTGTCAACTGCCTTGCAAAAAATTTAACAGAAAACTGACCTGATCTTTCCCACTTCCAAATGCTTTTGTCAGGCATTCTGGCATGCAGATGATGATTTTGAAGCTTCAACAGCAGGTTTGCTACCTTCAAAAGCTCCCAGCCATGAAGATTACCGTGAAACGTAGGGGTCCATAACTCCATACCATCTCATTACCCATCCTTTCATAGCTATGCAGCAAAATTATCTCATTTTCATCTGTCATAAAGATGTTTGGGAAGGGGAAGGGGATTGAGGAGCCTTAAGTCACACTATGTATCCAACCAAAGCCAAACTTTATCTTCTACATTTTACATGATTCCGGATAGAAAAGATTTAAAAAGATTTCTCCTAGTTGTATTACTTAGCTAGTGTGATTTTTTTTTGACAGATAAGTAGCTGGTGTGATGCCGACTATCTTGAGTTCCTAATCCTAGGAGATTGGTCCTGCATCTTTGTAAAGGCTCTTGAGGCAAGCCAAAGCAAGTCTATGCGGGGACTTGATGTAGCTCCTCCAAAAAGAATAGCAAAATGTATATTTAAAAAAGATGAGCACCTTTTAAAAGGGGCTGTGCTAGGGTGCATGCTTTGAAATGCACCTCTCCTGTGCACCTTTCTTGTACTTAAATTTCTCTTCTTTAATAAAAGTTCAGTTACTGATAAAAAAAAGAAATGCACCTCTCCTGTGCACCTAGGTTCACCTTTGAAAACACTGATTGCACCTTGAATTCAGTATGATAAAAGAGTTTCAAAACATCTTACACTTTATTTTCATTCTCATTTCTCTTTGATACATAATCATTTCATGCTCTGACTATGTTTGTTTCATGCAGGCAGATTTCGACTTATGTCCTGACTGCTATAATAATGGTAAGTTTGATTCTGGCATGTCCACTGCTGATTTCATTCTCATGGAGCCTGCTGAAGCTCCTGGTGTAAGTGGGGGAAGCTGGACAGATCAGGAGACCCTCCTCCTTCTTGAAGCCCTGGAGCTTTATGGAGAAAATTGGAATGAGATTGCTGAGCATGTTGCCACAAAAACTAAAGCCCAATGTATCTTGCATTTTGTTCAAATGCCAATTGAGGATACCTTTTTGGAAGGTAAAGATGAACTTGATGCCAGTGTACAGGGCAACAATGATCCAGGTTTGACCAATAATGATTCATCTGCCTTAAAAGATGACCATGAAGCAACAGAGAGCAAAAGTGCAGCCAATGAAGAGCAGCCTATTTCTTCTCCAGTGGACACGTTGAAACCAAAAGATGAGGAGAACAAAGATATAGCAAATGAGGATAAACCCTTTTCTTCCTCAGCATATGTGCCAAAGCCAAAAGATGCAAGTGATGTAAAGGTATCTGTGGAAGCGAGTGCTAATTGTGCAATAAATGCTCTGAAGGAAGCATTCCAGGCTGTTGGTTCTGTCCTAGGACCTGAAGGGTCACTTTCATTTGCTGAAGCAGGGAATCCAGTCATGGCACTGGTATGTTGAATGCATCCCCATGCATCTCCTGGAATATAAGTCATGTGTTTGATGGACTTGTTTATGCATTTGATTTGGCTTTTAAACTTACTCTTCTTTCTCTTTGCAGGTAGCATTTTTAGCAGGTCTGGTGGAACCTGATGTTGCTGTGGCTTCAGCTCGGGGTTCACTGAAGGCAATATCTGAGGAGTCTCCTGGCATTCAGATGGCTACAAGGCACTGCTTTCTTCTTGAAGACCCTATTGAGGACAAGAAGGAACCCCCTGTCCCCGAGTGGTGTGTGTGACTTGAAAATACATACCATTATGGTTTATTTTAATGGCAAATTGGATTGCTAGGTCTAACTACTCTTTTGGAACTGCAGCACTCCCACAGAAACGGTTGATGTAGAGGCTCAGAAGGACCAGAACCAGAAAGAGGAACAGCAGATAAAAGAAAATTCCATGCCAGCACAAGAAGGTGTTGATGCCTCAAAGGAGTGCATCAACAAGAAAATTGAGGATGCAGTTCCAAAAGAGGAAAATGTGGTTTCTTCTGGTACAAGTGCGAGGAAATCACTTGCTGCAAATGAATCAGGTGATGGAGGTACTCAGGAGGTGGTAGCACCCACTACTCAAGAGGAAGTCACATCTAGTGCTAAGGAGGTTGAACCTTGTACCGAGGGCGAGGAGGGACTTGAACCCAGTAATGCAAAGGAATCGAGTGACCTCACTTTGCCTGGGCAGGATGTGTCAAACACTGTTACAGGATCAGATCATAAAGCTTTGCCAACAGAGGTTTCACCGAATTTGGTGAATGAATCAGGTGGTGCAGTGTCAGAAGGGATCACTCAAGGTAAAGAGGTGGGAAAGGTTGCAGAGATGGAATTAGATTCAGTTACTGCAGAAGAAAAAGAGCCTCAGCAACCAGTTTCAAATAATTCAATGGTTGAAACTGGAGCTAAGACAGGTTTGTAATATAGAGCTTAGGTAGTTTTGAAAGTTGATAAATTTACAAATTGCATATTTTGATATTTTTAGGAGCTTGGGTGCTGCATAGAAGGCCTTGGCCATGTTTCAGCAAGCAGTATTTCTAATCATGTTTCTTCTTTATGCTTTCATCCATCTTATGATTTCTCACATGTGAAACTAATACAGAAGTGGTAGAAGGTCAAGCTGAGAAGAATAGTAACTTGGCAGAATCCAAAGATGACCATAATATAGATAAAATAAAGCGGGCTGCCATTACTGCTCTTTCAGCTGCTGTCGTGAAGGCAAAGATTCTTGCAAACCAGGAAGAAGACCAAATCCGGCAGCTTGCTATGTTGCTGGTTGAAAAGCAGGTATCCTTTTTTGCTCTCTCTCTCTCTCTCTCTCTCTCTCTCTCTGTGCATGCATGTGTGTACTGTGTAGTCTTTACGTTGGAGGTTCCTTCTACTGCAGTTGCATAAGCTGGAGACCAAGTTGTCTTTCTTTGCTGAGATGGAAAATGTGATAATGAAGGTTAGGGAACAAATGGACCGTTCAAGGCAGAGGCTTTACCATGAAAGGGCACAGATAATTGCAGCCCGACTTGGTTTACCTGCTTCCTCATCTAGACCAATACCGCCATCATTACCTAACAATAAAATTGCGATGGGCTATGCAAACTCAATGCCAAGGCCGCTGCCGAGCATGACTTCTTCAAAGCCACCAATTAGGAGAACGATGGTGACATCAGCTCCTCTGCTGTCAGGCTCATCTGTTCCCAGTACTGTCACAGGAAATTTAAGAAGTCCTCCAAATCAAGATAAAGTTTCTTCAGTAGGAACAAATTAATAATAGTCTTTAGTCAAGGACATTCTATTGTAATTTTGTTCATTCTTATACGTCAGCTAAATGGGGTTACAATCTATTACCAAGTAAACACTATCTTGTTGAGAAACCATGTGGAAAATTTTAGATGGGGATTCTGATTCTAGAGTCTAGACCTGTACTTGTGGATTATATCTTGATGGCTATGATCCACCCTATGGTGGGTTGTATTTTAACCCAAATGATCTCCTTGGCTAGAAACAAAGTTAGTCTTTAATTTCATCTGTCCCACTTATTGTATTTGTACCACAAACGCTGTCAACTATTTTTGCCCCCTCAGGTTTCGATTCCACCTTGCTCGTTATGTAGGTGTTTGCCATGATGCTGTTGCTTTAGAGATGTTTTTTGAGAAAGTATTGAATTTGGCAGCAACGACCGTTTTCCGAGAAAGTATTGAATTTGGCGTTTTTTTACACCACACTTTCTCGATTTTCAAGGTATGGTATGATAAAAAAAAAAGAGGCCATTTTTTATTTTATGTGGTGCCTTTATGGCGCCATTTTCTTGTTAAACACCGCCTATATCTTCTAGCAGTCCGGGCCTACACACACACGTGGGGAAAATTTATTGCTGATCAAGTCAAATTGGGAGCTTGCCTATTTCCTCCAGAGATGTTTAATTTTACAGTTCACATGTCCTCTCAGTAAAGGTGGTTTTCACAACTAATACCATTTTCTTGAATATTTAAATTTTTAAAGAAAACCTTATTATATTATAATTTATAAAAGAATGTTCATTTTTTGGTAATCTAAAAGAAGGCTCGTTTCGCGACTCCGGATCAGCTACGTACTTATCCATCATCATTTAATGAAAACCTGTGTGTATGCAGATCAAGTGCAATTTTGCAAAGAAAAAAAAAAGGAACAAGGCCTCCAATAACATATTTTTATTCTAAAAAAACTCGAGGAAAAAAATCCTATCGTATTATCTTTCCTTCTTACATAGCGTTTGGTGAGAGAGAATCCTGTGCCAAACGGGATTGTAATTGCATTGCAATTTGCGGATCGAATCCATAACAATGCAGCTGCTTGATGCAGTCCACGAGATCCAAGATTGCAACGAGATTGTGCACCCCGACCCTCAGCGAGATTGCACGACAAGTCCAAATGCAACGAGGCCAGAAAGAACCAACGATATTGGAAAGAAGGCTAACTGGCTAAGGGCAGGACAGGCGTAAGATCACGCTCAAGGTCCACCAGAAGAGCAGGTTTGAGACCTGCGAGGTTTATAGGAGCGAGATCGCCTCGCTAACAAGTGCTGCAACACCGTTATCATGTCAGAATCAACCTGAGATCACAAGCTCAACAACGACCAGGTTGCAAGATTACACCCTTTACTTTGCCATCTCATTCTGTTGTCACCGAGATTTCGATTAAAAGATCATCTGACTCACACAGATTGGTTTTCAAACACCTTTCCCCTATCAGTTTACCTTCTTAGCTAATGCTTGTACATTCATTTCAACCACTCTTTTGTTTATTTATTTTGGTATAATGTTTTGGATGCCAAAATTATAAACCTTTTCTCTCGGCTTTATTAAGATAAACTGAACCTTGTACCATACAACTTTTGTTGAATTGAATCGAGTATTACTTTTTCCCCTTAGGCACTATCTTCTTCCTCTTTTCTCTTGTTGAATCTATTTTCAGGCCACAACTATCCTTAGTGTCGTTTTGCTGCTTCAGCCATTGATTGTTGCAATGTCTCTGGTGGCAATTGGGCGGGTTGGGTTTGGGTTGAGTTTCAACACAACCCGTCTAACCTGCCAATCCGCTAACGACCCATTTAGTTTAAATTAAATGGGTTGGTTCGACCCAAATCCACCTGGACCCAACCCAATCCATCCAATCCATTAAATTTTTAATTCATTAAAACACAGTACAGAAATTATATAATGAAGAGAAGTTACAGAAAAACAGAAATTATAAAAAATACAGAAAATGCAAAAAGCTAACACAAATTATAGAAATAAATAACATAAAATTACAAAAAAATATTAATAAACAAAAATTATAACAAAACAGAAATTGCAAGAAAATATAACAGAAATTATAAAAACATAAAAAATGAAGATAAATAGCAAAAATTATAGAAAAAATCATAGAAACTGTGAAAAAGCTAACAAAAAACATGGAAGATGAAAAGATAGAAATTGTAGAGAAAATACAAAAATTATAAAAAAAACACAGGAAATACTCTTCAAGGAGACCTTCGCCGGATGCACATCGGCAGCTGGGAGGACCTCGGTCCGCGAACTAGAGAACGAAGAGGAAAACCTGCCAAAGCGACTTCGGCTCGAAGAACGGATATACTTCACCGAGAACGATGCGTGCGGGATCCAGTACCCTCATGATGATGCCCCAGTGGTGAAGCTAAGAATTAATGACTTTGAGGTAAAGCGCATCTTGGTGGACTAAGGTAGCTCAACAATATACTCTTCAAGGAGACATTTGACAAATTACAGTTATAGCAGAACGACCTGAAACCAGATACACCTATGATAGGGTTCAACGGCAAGGTCAGACCTCTTGGTCGAATTACGGTACCTGTGTAAGCCGACACGTGGCCAAACATTGTGCGATTCGAGCACACGTTTCTGGTAGTTGCTACTCCCTCCCCCTACAACGCCATAGTAGGTCGATCTATCATGCATGTTTTACGTGCGATAGTATCCACTTACTATTTAGCAATGAAATTCCTAACTGATTACGGAGTGGGAGTAGTGCAAGGTGACCAGCTCGAATCCCGCAAGTGCTACGTGTCTGCCTTGAAAGGGAAAGCAAAGCTAGTAGAGGATGTCGAGCTCGAGCGACCAATATAATATCCCGACGAACGAGCTGACCCGAAAGAAGAGACGGTCCACATACCGGTCTCTACCGTCGAACCGGTCAAGACCCTTCAGATCGATGCCTCGATTAGCGAACCACTCCAAACTCGCTAGTAAGTTTTTTACTTGAAAATTTAGATATTTTTGCTTGGTCCGCGGTAGAAATGCCCAAAATTGATCCAAAAATTATAACTTACAAACTTAATACCGACTCAGGCCAGTAAGATAGAAGAAATGCAACCTTGCCCCAGAACGTTGGAGGGTAGCCGATGAAGAGGTTGGGAAGCTCCTCGCGATAGACTTCATCAGGGAAGTCCATTACCCGAGATGGATGGCTAACCCGGTCCTGGTGAAAAAAGTCAATGGCAAATGGCGCATGTGCGTCGACTACACCGAGCTGAACAGAGCCTGCCCGAAAGATTGCTTTCCGCTACCCAAGATTGACTGCGTAGTAGACGTGACCTCAAGGCATGATTTGCTGAGCTTCTTGGACGCTTATTCCGGTTACAACCAGATTAGGATGGATCCTGCTGATGAAGAGAAGACCACTTTTATAACTGAGCTCGAGTTATATTGTTACAAGGTCATGCCCTTCGGATTAAAAAATGTTGGGGCAACATTCCAACGCCTTGTAAATAAGATTTTTGAGCCGTTAATCGGCAATAAAGTAGAATGTTATGTTGATGACATGGTTGCGAAAACCCAGTTTTCAAATTCTTTGTTGAATGATTTAAAGAATGTTTTTCAAATTTTACGAAAATATAACATGAAGTTGAACCTGAATAAATGCGTCTTCGGAGTCACTTCGAGTAAATTTCTAGGCTATATAGTCAATTGGCGCGGCATCGAGGCCAACCTGGACAAAATAAAAGCGATTTTAGATATGAAACCACCCCGGAAAATAAAAGAGGTATAGGGGCTGACGGGCCGGAAAGCCGCTGTGAGCTGTTTTATGTCCAAATTGGCAGATCGTGCTTACCCTTTTTTAAAGCTATAAAAAAGAGTAAGGACTTCGAATGGACTGAAGAATGTTAGCTCGCTTTTGACGAGCTGAAAATATACTTATGTACTACTCCAATTTTAACTCGACCCGAAGAAGGGGACGTGTTAAAACTATACCTCTCTGCAAGCGATGAAGTGGTTAGTTCAGTACTGATCAAAGAAGTAGATCGGGTCCAACGACCCATCTACTATGTTAGCAAAATTTTGCAAGATGTAGAAACTAGATATCTGGAGATCGAGAAATTAGCATATGCACTTCCAGGCCCACACTACCGTCGTTCTCACCAACAAACCCCTGAGGCAGATTCTACTCAAGCTCGAGGTGTCTGGGAGATTAACGAAGTGTTCCATCGAGTTGAGTGAATACGATATGAGCCTCGGCCAGCAATCAAAGTTAAAGTCTTGACCGATTTTGAAGCATAATGCATGTTCAGCACAGCGACCCCCGAGCTGATCGAGCTCGCTCACATGACGGGAGCTTCGACCAGTGCAGCGCCAGTCCCAATCATAGTGGAACCGACCTAGGACGAGGAGCCCTAGATCCTCAACGTCGACGGCTCATCCAACCAGCAGGGAAGCGGTGCAGGACTGATACTGTACGGCCCAAGCGAAGTGAAGTTGGAATATGCTCTCTTGTTCGGATTCGAGGCATCGAACAACGAGGCAGAATATGAAGCACTGGTCGCCGGGTTAACCTTAGAAAGGGAAATGAAAGCAAAGCACCTCATCGTATGCAGCGACTCACAACTGGTCGTTAACCAAGTCACTAGTGAGTATGAAGCCCGTGACCCCACTATGGTAGCTTACTTGGCCAAAGTCAAAGAGATCCTGCGCAACTTCGTCTCTTGCTTCATCAGACAAATTCTGAGGTCCGAGAACGCTGTGGCTGACGCCTTGTCGCGACTAGCTAGCACGAGCAGCAACACCATGCGAACTGTGTACATAGAAGACTTACCTTGGCCCAGCATTCT